ATCAATGGTTCCCGAGAAAGGCGGAATTAGAGCAGAATAAGGAAAGTGTGATGACAAAGGTCACGCAAAAGCCAGCTTGAACAAGTGAGTCTTCAGCTGCATTTTAAAGGAGACCACTGAGTCCACTGATCAGACTCAGGGGGAGAGAATTCCAGAGTCTGGGACAATTATGTTGTGACTTTAAAGTGACAGTGTTTATTTTTCTTGGCAATAGGGGGCAGTAGAAAACTAAATCGTTGCAAGCAAGCAGTATTTTTCTGTTGGAGTAAGACTTTACCAGCGGATGCCCTTTAGTGTCAAAAAGCGTCGGGGAGTGCAAACTTTAGCAAAATAACAAGCACATCAGACTCCCTTTCATCACTGGTAACAACTGAAGAGGTAAATGTGTAAAACAACAACATAGAATGAGGAAAGTTTTGTAACCATTTGTTTCAAATCGGTAAATTATTTTTGTCCTCACTGGCTCCCGTAGAAGGAAACATGGTATCTAATATGGTGTCGCCCAGAGACTTAAGGTGTTTGTCAATGTCAAGGCGCCTGGCCTGGCAAGGTGATGTCTTGCCAGGCCAGGTGCCTTGCTTACGAGGACACTGTCCTTCCTTGGTCAAAGAAAACGGTTAAATGGAACAGACTTGCATCACGTGACCGCAGCTTCCACGGCAGTCAAGTAACGCCACATGACACGAGAGAAAACGTTATATTTTAAACATGCAAGTTTCAATATAAATATATAACAAGCCTTTTACTTTTAAAATTTTGTATATATTTGTTAAATTAAATATGTAAGCGAGTTACTACCCGCTAGCCACCGAAGCTGCATGGAAAGAGAACTTCTATGGATCTAAAGAAAACATTTTAAATTACTTGACTTACTTTTGAACTTGAAATTTGCCCCCTAAGTAGCTGCCGGCTTCTGGTCCGCCATCCTTTTGAAAATACAATGGTGTATTCTGGGAAATTTTTGACAAAGGCTAGGCTACAATACACCTCCCGTGTATCATTGCTCAGCTAGCTAAACGGCTAACAAACGGAAAACAGACGCCTCGGTAGAACATGACCATTGGAACACACACGCCTTGGCGGTTCCTGATGATATACAGTATCTCCTAGGCAACCGGGGCGTCAAGGCAAGGTTCCTTGGCATTGAGAAACACCCTTAGACCCGCTCCCATGTATTTTAAACCTGATTTTTCTGGTTATATGTTATGAAGCCGCCAATATTTTTCAACAACTGGGCATCATTTCATTCATTTTCAATAACACTTAGATGGATATTTCAAGAAGTTAATGATAAAAACTACACATGGTCTCTTTGAAGAGCCCGTCCACTGAGATACTGTTTAATTGTTCTTTTTAAAACACAATTGGTCACTCAGAGTTGCAAATGCAGGCTGAACATCAGCGGGAAAAAATTGCATTCATTGCCTCCCCCTGGTTGAATTGAGACCACAGAAATCTGTATTGATTGTGTGGCCGGAAGAGAGCAGAGTACATTTGAGACTGTAGAAGCTAAGCATTAGCATTAGCAACTCAACAACATAGGGGAACACATTCAGGCTTGTGTTATTTGCAGAGATAATGTAGCATTGTTTTACCCAATAAAGAAGAGCAATCAGAGGCAGTAGAAAAGTTACATTATGTTAGCCTACCAGAGGCGAGACATTTGAATATCATTAATGTAAACGAATAATACAGTTGTATTCATCACTAGAGAGCACAGCAGACCCGTAAAGCTACAATGGCAAATTTGGAAAACAAATGACCATAAAACATTTTTTTCCATGCCTCTCAGTAGATAAATAGTATAAGCTATAAATATATTGTGATTAAAAAAAAGAAGAAAAATTTAATAAAGTGGTTCTCTTACATTTGTCTAAATACCTTTGCTAATGACACGGTTTGGACCAAAAACAACAATTGGATCATCCGGTTGTTGGCCTCGCCAAACCACAGCACTTCTGCATTTCCCTTGGTCCTCCACCTATTATGCACTCGTGTATGTAGCAACAGAACACCTCTGATGTGAGAGGTTCTCCGCTCAATAATATCAGAGGAGAAACAGCTGGCTGCTACCACAAACTGCCAGAGTCCCAAAAAGAGAAACACTGTTTGAAATCATGGACGACAACAGATGTTTGGACCTAAAAAAAAAAAACAGCGACCGGTGTTTAGCTCTGTCCCGTTTCCTCTTGAAATGTGGGTGCCCGACGCAGCAGCGTCGTGTTTGCGTTCAAAACCGGACTTGTTATGTAAATTCACCCAAGCAGCTTTAAGTGTCAGCTCAGATGGAGTTCTGCCTCGAGCAAAGACAAAACCCAAGTTTGGATTAATACGGCTCATTTTGATGGCTTGTTAGTACATTTCCAGATGGATTTTGCGTAGAGATCTCGTTATTTTGCGGGAAGTAATTTCAGGCAGAAAGGGCTCATGGTGAGACGAGGCATGCATTTGTTAGGGACAAGAAAAAGGGTCTTTGTATGAGTCAACAGGTGTTCTCCCACCTGTTGCTGTGTGCCCTATACCAAATGCACACTGATGCCTCAGCTGGCGAACCATCAGTAAATCTGTTCCTCAGGGCACATTTGTCACTGTGCCCTGAAGAACCCTTTTGGAGTTTTCCTTGTGGGACTCTAGAAGCTTTAGAACATCCAGTGTTTGAATGAATGCTTATGTTTTATTTAGTGTGTCCTTTGTCTCCTCTGTGGGTCATACTTTTCTACTTTCCCAACTTGTTGCCTAAGATAAACTTAAGATAGTTGCTGCTGTGCTTTTCGTATCCAAACAACATTCAGTCTGGCAAAATGAACTGCTCTTCTTTTTCTGAGCCAAGCTGCCAAAACACATCACGCCACGGAAGCAAAAGGAAACAGATATTCAAGTTTTCGTTTTCACAAAGAGCTCAGGCCTTGTCTTTTCTCCTGCTAGTTGCTATCCTTCATTTGAGCCGTGTGAAACGACGTAAGCGCAGATCAGCGCACAGATAGAGGCTAAAATAAAAACATGCATGCTCACAGGAACAAAGCAGAGTGATGCTCACTGTTGTAACTCAGGATTGCTGCTAATTAACAATCCAATGAACAGAAGGAGCTCCAGTTTTGTGCAGACGTTCCTCAATTTTCATTAGAAATGTGTTTTTTCTCTCTTGAAAACTGAGTCTGAAAACAAATGAGAAATATTGAGCAGTGGTATTATGCTATGCTATGTTATTATGATCTGTGTGTCATAACATCAAAGGTATGATACAAACAAGTGTGAACATCGCTGCACGTCATTTCACCTTGTGATGGTTTCAGATTTAATCTAAAAATGTGTTAGTGTGGAAACAAGAAACTGGCTGTTTTGAACAGCATCAGAACACCAAATAGCATTAAATATTTAACGCCAGTCGGTCAGGTAAAACAACCAGGTAAGACCAGAAAACAATTATTTATCTTATTTTGACCGTGAAACAATATTAACATCCCTTTGAAGTAGCACAGTACATTCCTGGAAATTTCACAAGATCGTGAAACTCTGCAGTACCACAACTTTTTTCTAAGTACTAAAGTTAGATATGCATGTGAAACTTGGAAAAATTACAAAAAAATTGCAAAATTCTATTTATTTCAGTAGTACAGCCTAGACTGAGAGCCCATCTAAAGGCTCAGGAACCCTTTGCAGGTGTTTGGGAGTAGTGTGACACTAGGTTATTGAACTTCGCAGTATTCTAATTGTCTGACATTTTGAATTTGGGGTTTTTATAAGCTGTAAGTCACAATCATCAAAAATACCACAAATAAAAGCTTGAAGTATCTGGCTTTGCATGTCATGCGTTTATCTCATATATTAGTTTCACCTTTTAGGTTGAACAACTGAAATAAATAAACTTTTGCACCATATTCTAATTTTTCAAGTTTCACCTAAAATATTCTGACATTGGTAAATGTGTGAAAGTCTTTTCCAGTGGTGCTCCTTATGCAGGATGCATTGTAATATCATACACATACTGTCGTTTTCCTGAATTTAACAAATGATGCATCAAAATTGTAGAACTTTTTTTCAAATCTCCTGTTAATCTTCCACTCGATGAGGAAAGTAGTCGTGTTTCAATTCTGTCAGTTTTTTCTTAAAGATCAATAATTAGCAAAACACTTTTTTTTGTTTGTTTTTTCAGATTCAAAGCTAGAAAATTATTCTGAAGCTCAAAATTTCATCACTAAATATTTGTTTTTGTGTCAATTATTGCATAGCGATAGTATGTTTGTAGACGGAAGAGTACTCCTGAATATTGGCCCGTTCCATTCACCTGATGATATTTTAGTTTCTGCTTTTCTTACTTGTTCCGAGCTACGTGAAAACGTCACGTAATGGTGTGGACAGAGTTTGGGCTTAAACAGAAGTTCGCTTCTGCGTATTTTTATTTCATGACTGTGGTTCTTTTACCTCCACTGACACTCATTTTGGGGCCTGCATTTACTTCCTGTGAATTAAATAGATCTAATGAAAATGGCGTACATCAACCATCATGTGAATCATCGTATCAGATCTAATTTCACATTTTTACATCTTGGAATGAGTTTAATAATAATAATAATAATAATAAGAAGAAGAAATTGGGCGACGGTGGCACAGGAGTTAAGAGCTCGCCCCATAATCTGAAGGTTGCAGGTTCGAGCCCCGCTCAGTCTGTCACTGTCGTTGTGTCCTTGGGCAAGACACGTAACCCACGTTGCCTGCTGGTGGTGGTCGGAGGGACCGGTGGCGCCAGTGCTCGGCAGCCTCGCCTCTGTCAGTGCACCCCAGGACAGCTGTGGCTACATCGTAGCTCATCCCCACCAGTGTGTGAATGTGTGTGTGAATGGGTGAATGACTGATTGTGTTGTAAAGCACCTTGGGGGGTTCCAGGACTCTAGAAGGCGCTATATCAAATACAGGCCATTTATCTTTTCCCATTTACCAAGTATCTTTTAAAGTCTTTATTGTGGATAATGACTATTGACTGGTATTGCTTCTGCTTCTAGACTTTGACATGAAGAAGGATATAGACACGCTGAAGACAGAGGAACAGGCTGAAATCATCTCTAAATATGACAAGGTGTGTGGATAAACGACAGTTAATGGTTCTGCTTTGGACGTGAACACAATCGAGAGTTTTTTGAGCAAAATTCATTAAAGGTGCATTATGTAGTAATGAAGTCAGCATTATATCCAGTGGTAAAATTTAATTACCGCAACCACTTTAAACAACTCTGGAGCTTTTTGCCGGCCGTCGTCAAATAACAATTGTCGGTGCTGCAGCATTAGCTTGCAGGAGACACCGCACCCCCACACTCACTGATGGTAAACAGAAGTTACGTCCCTCCTTCCTTTGTTTGGAAAGGAGAAAAACAGAAAATCCCTGCTTCAGTGTAACCTTCCTTCCAGAATGACTGCAACATTAGACTCTTTCTTACATACTGCACCTTTAAAAAGTTCAGTGCCTGTTGAATTACTGGGAATAAAAACACTGGGGAGCATCAACGTCTGGGTTCATAACTTATGTTTAACTTTAGCTAAAACATGTAATCCAGTGTTTTAATGTAATCCCAAATACATGTACCATGTCTACTGAACTTCTGAGTTCAGTATTGTGAATAAATCCCTCAGCCTTGTATTTGTGTCCAAATACCTAAAATCTGGAAAATATGTGGTTGATGCAGGGCAGACGAGATGGTGTCGACATTGACCCATGGGAGGATGCCAACTACAACATCTATAAAGTCACCGACCGCTTCGGCTTCCTGCAGTAAGTCTTCTTAACGTTTACTTCTGTGGTTCCCCCCCAGTCTTTTACGCCCCTTAATATTTTTCTACATCGTGATCATTTGTGCTGCTAATATTTCTGTGTTTCTGCCACCAGTGAGGAAGAGCTGCCAACGCCCACGGCTGTAGAAGAGAAGGTAAAATACAGAGTCTGAACTGCGTGTTCGGATTTTCCTTTCTCCTGCTTGTATGTCATCTCATCGGTTTCTGTTACCCCTCCTCAGCAAAAACTACAAGAGATCGAGCGGGTGGAGAAATGGCTAAAGATGGTGAAGAAATGGAACAAGTACAAGAACAGCGACAAGGTTAACGAAAGCTCCTCTACTCCATGACATTTTATTTCTGTTTATAACCTATTTTCCATTCCCTATTTAAGAAAACGTCTATTTTTATTCCTCCTCTGTATTTTGGAGGCTTTAAATAAAAACAGGCTATGAGAGTAACGTTTCCATGTTGTTTCACGTTCGTCGTTTTAGTTGGCAAAGCGTGTCTACAAGGGCATCCCTCTTCAGCTGAGGGGTCAAGCTTGGGCCTTGCTTTTGGACTTAGAAAAGGTTAAACAAGACAATGAGGGAAAATATGAGGTAGGAATTAGAAATCTGAGGGTGATTTCTATCAATTGTTTTAATTCAAATGGCTGACGCATTTTTTTTTTCTGTTTACCAGAAAATGAAGCAGCAGGCTCGTCTCTACTCGACGGAGATCAAGCAGATAGATTTGGATGTGAACAGAACCTTCAGGAACCACATCATGTTCATGGATCGCTTTGGAGTCAAGTAAGTTCCACATTAGAAACATAAATCAGCTTAAAATGATGGTTCAGATCGTTTTAAGGGCATTCTTTTGGAAAAATTAGGCTTATCTGTGGTAGATAAGTCTTTGAGAGACTAGCCAATTAAAAATTATTCCAATCTTAAAAATGCCATATGACCTATACGTTATCAACTGGAAGTGCCGCAGTAGCAATCACTTCATGACCAGCTCCTGATCAGCAATTGTGCGGCCACACAATTATCAAACGTGTTTGATATTTTGTTTGTTCATGAGGTTATCGCACTGTTGAAGCAGCGCTGAGACCAAAAATGTCCAGAATCACTCACACAGCGCATGCGCCAGCCCGGCTCCACTGATTCTGTGTCAGCACACATCAACCCTTCTTACAAGACACACTGTGCCGGAAAATGGGCTAATTTTACCGCAACGATGTGCCTGATAACACGCCATGCCGGCATGGTGATGCGCAAATGTTGCGGCACTCGCTCCGCCTTGCTTGGTAGTATTATTGCAGTACTTGTCTGTCGTATAAACAGTGATTGTGCCTTGGTGCAACAGAGGGAGGTGTCATGATCACGTGGAGAGTTACTGCAGAGCTCCCACCGGCAAATGTATTGAAAATGAAAGTAAACGCTATCAGTAAGTTTCACTTTTGTACAGAGAAGCTGCTGAGATGATAAACTGATGCGATGCAGAGCTCCATGAGCTTCTCTCCGTTAGAGCTGGAGGTTGGATCACCAGAGACTGCTCGGGGCCTGTGGGGGACAGGCACCTTTAAGAGCGGCTTGTCAGAAAAACTTAATGAGCGCAATAAAGAGCAAGTTATGTCCAAGATAAACGGATGTCCGCGGCAGCGCAGAGACCGCCCCCACACCTCCTTTATGCCTCCATCGCCTAATCTTTTGGACATTATTGTGCCCCATTGCCGCCACGGTCTGACCACTTTTAAACGACCTAAAGCTCCCTGATTCAGCTACGGCGTTGCGGCTAATTGACGGCATTGTTTTGTAAAAATGGCTGTTGCTTCCTTTTGTTTTTCCACTTTTTCCACACACAGTCAAAAAAACATGATTTCTGTGTTTATGTAAAAAAAAAACGGATCTCAAAATATTGTTTACTTCCTATCTTTGTCTTCCATCTCCAACCTCTGTAAACCCCTGCATGTCCTCCAACAGCAAGCCTGAAGGACAACAGACACGTCAATAACTAAACAAGAGCCTGCGAGTCGCCTGTGTTTACGTACATGAAGTTTCGACGTGTTTCTACCACATGTAGAGTGAGCAGCCAGGTCACATCCGAGAACTGGGTCATTCGTTGTGAGAGCATGACTCGTGAGCTTTGCTCTGTGAGGAAGTGACACAGTTTTACTTGGAGCTGAATTCTACGAGTCAAAAAGTTGTACAGTGTATGCCCGGCTTTAGGCAACCTCCTTCTGATACCGAAACACGCAGTGCCAGAGCGCTAAACATCTGAGCCGCCGTTTTCTAGGTCCAAACGTCTTTTGGTGTTTTTGTTTTTGGTACTCTGGTAGTTCGTCCTAAAGATGAAGCGGTAGCAGACAGCTGTTACTCCTCGTCTGCTTTTATTGAGCAGAGAACCTCTCACACAGTGGTGTTCTGTTGCCAAATGCCTGAGTGTGTAATGAATGGAACCTACAGGACACATAATGTAATAATAAAATACATAATGGGTTCATATATGAGTGTTTAATGTCTCTGAGCAGCTTTAGAGTCAGATATTTATGCCGCAGTTCAAGGGTGTCAGAAATAACACCAAATGAAATGTTTGACTTAGTTTATTTTATTTGAAACCAGTGGTTCATTTCTGAAATGTTGGAGAATGAATCAAGTTCTGTTTGATGCAGAAAATAATAAAACATAAAACAAATTCTACACTTCCAATAATATTTAAGATGTGTGTTTTATTCTTTCTGGTAATAACACCAGCAGAAGGCTGTGGGCTGGATTAGGATTAAATTACCCAGCTGATGGATCTCCGTCACTAACCAGCTAACAAACCTTTCCACTAACCTGTCCTGTGGGACCCTCACCATGTAACCCTCATGTCCATGCTGTCTCTGGAGGAGAGACAGGAAACAAAACCTCCTGTAACCTAAAATGAACCAAAGCTTCCTCCCAGTTTCTCTTTCAGCTGAATTTAACATCAGTTTATCATCATGACACAAAAAAATAAAGTGGAACAAAAACTTCTATCTTCAATTTCTCTCTCCTTTTAACTTCTCCGTGTCCCTAAATAAGAGACAGACGATCACGCTGCAGCCGCCGTCATTGACCCCGCCCCCTCCCGAAGACCGGATCTCCCGGCATCACAACACTCGGTCTGACCGAGCGCTTCCAGGAGAAAAAATAATGAAATTATGAAAATAATAACGCGTGTTTGGAGCATCGGTTTGGAGGAACGTCCTCCGATGCTCCCTCTCTCTCTCTCTCTCTCTCCCTTTCTCAGTTGCTGTGCGAGCGAGCGGAGCGCGCCACGTGACAACCCGCTCAATTAACATAATTCACGGCCCAAATCCAACAGAACCGGTCGGGCTGATTCGGTTCTGGTTCGGTCTCAGGTTACAACTCTAGCGCTCAGCCCTGCAGTACCACATTTAGGCGGAACCACTTGGTAAATGCTGCGCTGGTGCCGCCGTTAAAAAACAAAACTACATTCCACTATAATCGATTACGGCGTACTCCTCTACGATGCAGAATAGTTTATGTCCGCATCCCGATGCATCGATTATTTGATTATTTTCCTCAGCTGTATTATTTATTTATTTTTTTAACCTCCACATTATATTTATTGCTGTACTGTGTTAGAACGGTGTTGAGAGGCATGAATAAAAATGTTTTGTGCTAATTTTAATTTTAATGAACTTTTTTTCTCCATTCCTTTGAATCTCTGACTTCTCCCTTTGACACCTCACATGTACCGATTTGCTTCAGTGAAGCTGCTGCAGGATTTGTCCCCTAGCTTAATCTTTGAAGCACACACACACACACACACACACACACACACACACACACACACACACACACACACACACACACACACACACACACACACACACACACACACACACACACTTGCACAAAACCAGAGTGGTGGTTTCCTTCTCTAAGCATTTTATTAGCCTTCCTGTCAATGCACAAAGCCCCACAGGAAATGGCGTTCACACAGAAAGTGCAACATCACAAGAACCCACGAGCCAAAAAACATTGAGACAAACAAACACACAAGAGTTTAAAGCACATTAAACAACGTTAGGACATCAAACAGATAGTGAACTTGTTTGGAGCCGCTGTAGAAATCATTTTGCTTATGTCAGAGCGTGTGACAGAGAACTCTCTTCTTTCTCTTTGTAACGTACTTCCCCTTCAACTCAAAGCCACTGAGGCCAAACAGACCAAAACATGGCTTCATCCTGCTCAGCTGCCCACTCCTTCCCTGCGACTCAGCAGCTGTCTTACTCACACCGAGCCTCTGACAGCTATTTAAAGCACCTTTCCTGTCTCTGCCGCTGTCTATTACAACATGCTTTTATTGCGGAGGCCTGGAGGGGCGACATCCTCTCCACATCGTATTTGTTAATGCACCAATCACACACAATGGCTGCCTTGTGCTGTCCGTCTGAACGTGTTTGGTTTCCCGATGTGATCAGCTGAGCAATGAAAAACCCTCCAGTCACAGAAACTAAATTAAAGATTCAGAGTATTTCTAACAGTTCGGTCACAACTTCATCTGAATTTTCCACCTTAAAGATCTGCTTTGCAGTTGTCTTGAGGATGCCTTTATTACAATAAGCATGCTTCTTACGCAGGAGTCACATCCTTGTTTTAAAGGGGCATTATGGAAGTTTGACAGCCAAAACATGTATAGAAATAATAAATGTCTTCTTCATACATTCTCCTGCAATGCCCTGGTCCTGTAGAATGAGCCCTGGCATTTTTACTGTGATTGCCTGTTTTTCTGTAAAATCACAGAAAAAGAGAGCTGCTTGGGTCGAGCAGGCTGCTTCATGCGCGTTCACGCTCAGGCATAGCCCGTAGCATTTGCTATCCGTAGCTTTAGCAGCAGAGAGAGAGGCAGTGCCAACTCAGCGACTTTGTCGCTGTCCCTAACGCCTAGTGACGAACCTAGCTACATTTCTGAGGACCCTTAGCTACTTTCTTCTAGATATTTCCTGCAAATTAGCAAGAAAATAGCCATTTTCGCTCCGAACTGTTCTTTGAATGTTGTTTCAGCTGTCATCATGGATATAAATGTTACAGATACAAAGGACGTCACTGGCGCATTAGCTCACTTAGTAAGACGTTGGACTCTCGTGCAGAGGACCTGGGTTCATTTCTGGATGTGAACATAGTTTATTCAGTTTTTTATACATTAATGGTATATTTTTTACAGTAAGATGCCCAAATTTTTATTTGAGACTCGCCGAACGGCATTGAATTCACAGATAAAAAAGATGTGGGTTCAACTTTCATTTTGGAACAATTTTTCAAGCGAGGGAGGGGAAGCTTTGTGAAGCTGACGGACTGACCCATCTTAATCCTTTGTCGGCTGTGCTTAAGAGAAAGGTACAGAACCAAATTATTTAATTAATTAGCTGCATGCTCTCCTGTCCTCTGTATTCCGGGCCACACACACACACAAGGGACTGTCTCAACTGTTATTTTCGTTAAGGAGTGTGCACGTACAGCATGCGCACCTCGTACACGAGCCTACTATTGAAGCTGCCGTTATGCTTTTGGCCTGAGGGGGCAATCACGAGCATAAAAATTCAAAACTCCGTAAAGTCCCTTTAACCTGTGGTTTTCTTGTTCCTCTCCAGGCAGCAGGCACTGTTTCATGTACTGGCAGCTTACTCTGTCTACAACACGGTACGTTTCTTTCTTTATTATTTTTTTGTCTTTGTGTTGGCCTTTTATTTACAGGTGGATTTTTCTAAAACAGCATTGCATAATATACTTTTCTTGTATGCTTTGGTCTTCCAAACGATCTGAACGCATTTACAACTACAAGTAGAGCTACAAGTTCACCGCTTTAGTTGGTTTCTGAGCAGCAGAGGAAAGGCGAAGAAGCATGCTAGACCCATCTGTTCTCGCTCTGCATCAGAGCCTCCATAAGATCTTTTATTTACGAGTGTGGCTTAGTCTGAATATGCAGCATCACATTGTAGCAGACCACCAACAAAGCCCCATTCATGTTTACGCTGTAAACCAAACTCAACTTCTTTGTTGCATACAAATGATTGTATTTGTGACTTCTAATTGACTTAAATGCATCATTATTAATAAAATTAATCATTCTCTTAACTTACGGATCTTTTTAGACAACTCTTGTTTTTAGGACACCTCAAGAGTCAGTTTTGTGATGTTTCATCTTGTGTTTTTATTTGTAATCTCATAAAGAAATTTGTCTGCCTAAACCTGAACAGGTCCAACCCGGTCTGGCTGTGAGACCGGGTTGACGCGTCACGCTTGTGCGTAATCATATAGGCGCTTTCTTAGCTGAAGAGGATGTGAGATTCTGGGATTCTCCTCAGACAGGCTCCTGGATGTGTCGCCACATTGGAGACAGGAACAAGCGCTATTCAGCCAAAGTTTCATAATCAGGGAACATTTTCTAAGTGACAAGTCTCTCTGAGAGACCGGGTTTGGAAAACGCTCGCTTCAGTTGGAGGAATCTTCCCGCATGCGCTCTGGTTCTGCGACGCGCTCCAAGTCCCTCTCTACATCTTCAGCTCGCTGTGCACCTTATGTACGCGCTGACAGTGAGCTGCGCTGAGCAGTGTCCAGCTCAGATGTTCAGATGGGAATCTTTTCTTGAGTGATTTAGCTACATCTGCGATGTGCGTAGAATAAAATGTCAGTTTGTCTGCATGCGTCGGGGTAATTCTTTCTATTCTTTCTCCGTCAAAATAAACGGCCAAATACGGGAACTGTCCGGTCAACACAACACAAGCCCTGCATTTAACTGTTCTGTTTTCTTGTGAAAATTGTTGCAAAGAGATATAATTTAACTTGATTAACACCAGAGCCAGTGCGCCGTTATCTCCGTCACTGTAAATGAGGGAAAAACAAATTGATCGGATCCTTTTCTGACCTTCCCCACCTACAAAGTTTAATTACAACAATCAAACATGACAGAGCCTGGATTTGTATTCTGAACAGTCTAAACATGTTTTAAAAAGAAACGTATGACAAAAGTGGCACCTGCTCAGTAAAACCACCAACAGGGTGAAAAATATCAAAATATTGTAGGCAGAGACGGACTACAACTTCTGGATCCACTTTATATAAATCGTTTTATTGATTACCTTTTTATGAAAGATAACTTTGACGTACACGAGCGACCGGTACTGGCTGCTGTCACCTGTTGTGAGCAGCGCTCTGCTGTCTGAGGGTAGGCCCCGCCCACAACGCCGTGGCTGCTGTGGCTCCCAGTGTTTTCTTTACTGTGGGAAACGGGTAAAAATGGCTCTTTGATGGGAACAGGTTGCCGACCCCTGCCATAGTAGAAGTAAAAATTACTGTTGATTACAACATGGCATTCCAGCATTTTTAACAGCATCCTCATCTTTTCCGACAGTGCGAGCTATTTCTCTCCAAGAATTATTAACAACATGTTGATCACTGCGATCTTTGAGAGCTGAATCATATAAATGTCTGTATTTACGAACCTCTGCCATACTAGTTCTTGCCAGTCCGCCATGTTTTTCCGTGTCCGACCGTCCGCATGGTTAGAAAATTTCCTAGGTGCGCGGTGTGGAAAGTTTGGGCCGTGCGGAGGCGCGGTGGAGGGGCGTGGTTGTTAAAATGACGTAATTTAGCCGTGCGGAGCCATGCGAACCTCGCAGACGCATCAAGCATAATCCAAGCTTAAGCCACATACTCACTAGCATTGGCTCCGCTCCACCCGCTCCAGCCTGGCTGCAGTCATTCCACACCCCCATAGGAATGTGGACGTGATTGAGCACATGAGAGGTCTCTAAAATTGGCATGAAAAATAGCTATCAGTGATGTCTTTGAGCATGTGGGCGGGGCAAAAGAGCGGGGCAAAAGAGCATGGAGAAGTCTGCGGTGTCTCAATTATTAACCAAGAGCGGCCTGAGCATACTGCTTTGCTGTGTCTGGCAGCACTGTGTGTGTGTGTGTGTGTGTGTGTGTGTGTGTGTGTGTGTGTGTGTGTGTGTGTGCGTGTGCGTGTGTGCATGGTCCTCCAGGCAGACGGCCTCGGGACGAGGGCTGAAAAGACGTCCAGTTGCGCGCCAGAAAAGGAAAAGAGAACACTCCAAACCCGGTCCAGGCAGAGTAGAGTCGATGCTACTGTGTAAGGACCATTAACATCCAGGAAACAGCAGAGAATGTCTCAACTAATAGAAGCTAACTATTTGCATTGGCAACTACACCACGCAGCAGGACTCCTTCGGGCTTATGTTATTTGTGGAGATAAAACATCAACGTTGCAAAGCAAACCAAGTCAGTGGTAGAGATGCGTTGCTGTTATCCAGTCCGAGGCGAGATGTCCAAATATCAGGAAATGAAACTCCAAAACCTGCCATCTGAAGCTCAGCTGGGATGTGGCTCCCTTCTGGTTCCAAGAAAGGGTGCACCAGTGTTTTTTGCCCTCTGAATACGACTTACAAGGCATTCATTCCTACCAGAGACCACTGCAAATGTACTGATTAAAGAGTGTTCCACGCCTTAAAGAAAAACCCATGGACACAAATCCAATTGTCCTCCTGAATCCGACTGTATTTGTTACTTTTTTATTTTTATAATCAGCAAGGTGAGTTTTGGGGAGAAAAAACATTTTGTTGAATGTGCTGCATTCACATCAGAACTCAAAAAAACTTCCTTTAGTGTCAAACTTAAATTCATGAAAGTACTTTATTATTAGTAGTATTCTCTGGTAAAACTCTGGTTGTAGCTTAAACAAATTGGAATTATGGGAAGTTCTTTGTTCATGGATTGGTGATAAATCAAAAAAGCTATTCTAATGTGAAATGTAATATATTAAAACAAGGTATTGTGGGTAATTTTTGTTTTAAACGGAAGTGCTTGATTAGTTTTCATTCCGTTTTGTTTCCAAGTAAATCTTTATTCTTGAAATGCAATTTTTGTCCTTTTCCACTTCCTCTACCTTTTCTCCTTGTGAAATAAAATTTTTACTGCGAGACCTTGCTTTGCAATAATATTTTATTTAAGTTGATGTGTCATCATGTTTTTGCAGGACAAAGTGTAGCTGGGCATAAGCGTGTTCAGTCAAAGCTGGTATGCTCTTCATCTTTGCTGAACAGAACTCATGGTCTGGGATGGTTTTCCTGATCGGATTTGTTAGTTCCTGTATGCCAGGGGTGTTTGAGCCAGAGGAAACGGCCATGTGTTTGCCTCGTTTTCCTCTTCCCCCACTCTTCTCACACAGTTCTTAAGAAAAACTGGGTCAGTAGTAGAGCCGAAAGCAGAGACAGAGAAGGGGATGTTTGTCTTTTTCACGTGTGTTACGTTAGAAAGGAATGTGAAAAATTCTTCTCATTAGCCTTAATTATTTTTACCGTAATCCCATGAAAGGATACGTTTGTGTCCGCTTCTATCTGTGGAGTAAATTTGCCTTAATATGGACAAATACCAAGTGTGTGTTCGTGTCTGTAGCTGCGCTCGCCAGGGGCTCGTTTTGTGTAATTCAGGGAATCATTCTGGTGTCAACTTGGCAGCAAGTTGAGGACATGACATTAGTGTGTGTGTGTGTGTGTGTGTGTGTGTGTGTGTGTGTGTGTGTGTGTGTGTGTGTGTGTGTGTGTGTGTGTGTGTGTGTGTGTGTGTGTGTGTGTCTACTGTAAACATTTGAACACTGTTTGGCAAAGGTGTTTAAAATATTGTTTCTGCCCTTCCCTGTTGGTAAAGTACACACACACACACTTCCAGTCTGATTTAGGACCACATCATGGATCAGGCGCTCTCCTCCTCCTCGTCTCTTGGCCTATGTATGATAATAAATTATAAATGGTTGCTTTCATTTTTCCATCCTGTTCAGCTATTTCTCTTTTTTATTTTATTCTCACCAGGAGGTGAGCTACTGCCAGGGGATGAGTCAGATCGCTGCCATCTTGCTCATGTACTTGAATGAGGAGGATGCTTTCTGGGCTTTATCCCAGCTCCTTACAGACACCAAGCATTCCATGCACGGTGAGACGGGAAGAGACAGACAACTTAGGACAATAGTTACCACAAGAAACGGATAAATGAAATGTGGTTTTTCAGTTCAGGCTGGTTTGTCTAATCATCTTTTATCTCTAAAAGCAGCTCCAACCATCACGCAGTCTTTATAACCTAGCTTTTTCTTCGTTAGGGTTTTTCATCCCAGGATTTCCCAAGCTGCAGCGTTTCCAGATTCACCATGAGCTCATCCTCTCCAAGATGCTGCCCAAGTTGAAGAAACACCTGGTGAGTTGCTGTGCAGACAAATAACTTTATGCCGAACAAGATTAAACCTCTTTGGGAGGATGTTGCCCTGATGATCTGTTCTTCTGCAGGACAAGGAGCAGATGGCAACAGGGATTTACGCCACCAAGTGGTTTCTCCAGTGCTTCATTGACAGAGTGAGAATCGATTATCGTCTGCGTTGATATTTTTCTTTTAAATCTGGTTAAAAATCCACTAAATTTCAACTTTCAGACTCCTTTCACCCTCACCTTACGTTTATGGGACATCTACATACTGGAGGGGGAGAAGATCCTCACCGCTATGGCCTACACCATCTTCAAGCTACACAAAAGTGAGAAGGAAGCTAATTATGCTATTTATAAATGTTAAATCATCTGAGCTACAGTGGCGCCCCCAATGGGAGGCCAGAAATACGGCTAGAAAATTGCTGGTGAGTTAAACAAAAACAAAAAAACTCAAATAAATTTAGAAATAACATTTCAAAAAACTGAAATTAGTTTTTTGGGAATGTTTGTGTTTCCAAAATTTGTGTTGACTGTTTTGGATGCATATTGTTTTTTAATAAAAGAGAATAAAGATGGAATGCAAGGCATCGCCACAGGCTAAGCTCTTCCGGAGTTACAACTAGGATCCATTTGGTGTGCCACCCCATAAGTTTTTTTTTTTGGCCCCATCTGGTCACCCTTGTCCAAATTTTCTGGGGGCGCCCCTGCTGAATCTTTAAACCCAGGATTATGTCACACACGTCCTCTCGGCCGGCTGCATCTGCTCTGCGTGGCTTGTTGCTGAGGAGAAAACTCAAAAGCCGACTTTCCGTTGGATGCATAAACAAGGATTGAATTTAGAGCCGAGTTACTGTCATTAACAGGCCTGTTTCTGTCTGTATTTCACTGCATGCAGGAGATTAAAACAATGCTTCATCCGCACTGATGTTTTCTGTATTGTGTCTAATCAGAGCGCCTGATGAAGCTTCAGTTGGAGGACCTGAGGGAGTTTCTTCAGGAGCAGCTGGCTTTGTCTTTCTTCCTTCCTGATGATGTGGTGGTTGAACAATTACAGGCTTGCATGTCAGAGCTGCACAGTAAAAAGCTGGATCTACCTCCTCCAGGTGCAGCACGGTCCTTCTGTTTCCTTTTCCAAAAAAGAAAGAAAGAAAGTCTTTTATCACTGATGATCCATGAATCTAAGACATTGAATTTTCCATATTTCTTTGTTAAGTGAAATTAGATTAAATTAGATGGATTTTATGATTCATTTATGATTTGTAAAGAATTACCTAAAACCAGACATTCCCAGCAGCTGTTATTCAGTCGTGCACGTTAGTTTGGGGGGAATTCTGGTGCATTCCTATGCAGAGAAAAGGTTTTTCCATATGAATTCTTTGCTTTAGGCCTTTCTGCAGTGCTGCTGTTAGAATAGGGTCAGAACTTTCTAAACGATAATGTTATTTCTCATTAATAGCTCAGTGGTGTGGTGGCTCTCGTTGTGCCTGTGTGGGTTTTCCAGGACACAAAAGCACTCGGATCAGAGCGACCTGCTTTCATCAGAAATTTAAGTCGTGCTTTCCATTTCTTGTTTTAGGCAAGTCCGACGAGCTGCCCAAGAAGCCTCTGGGTCAAGAGAGACCGGTCCTCCTTGTGCCTTTGCAGTCTGACTCGCCTCTGGAGGTCAAAACAAACCTGCATGCCAACAGCGAGCTCGTTACAGATGACACCGCCCTTCAACAGGAGCATTTCCCAACAGATTCCCAGAAGGGAAGCCTCTCGGGATCAAACACACCTTCATCAGAACCTGCTTTTCAGACTCCAGGAGCTCCTTCCCTGAGGCCTTGTAGAGCACCTCCTTTACCTCCAAAAGAAGACAAGCTTATGGTAAAAGTAGGGCTGAGTGATGTAAAGGATAAACACCCAGAACAGGAGAACCAGACGAGTGAGCCGGAGTCCCAGGAGGATCCAGTGGACTGGCCTCCCCCCTATGTGCCCTCTGCTCTGGATGCCATCAACATACAAGCTGAGGAGGAGATTATGGACCTTCCAGATCTTCCACCTCCACCTTTTTTCTACTCTGAACAGAGCAACCAGAGGTATCTGAGCAATGACTCTCCCAGACCGGGGGCTCAGACTGGCCTAGAAATCCAACATCGCTCTCCTTACCCTCAATTAGATTCACCGTTGGTCCCTCAAACAAAGTTCTCCGCCAAACCACCTCCATCTCTCAACGTCCCAAAGCAAAAGAGTCCTCCTCAGTGTGCCTCCAAAGCATCGTCCTCTTCTCCCAGACTCCCACCACCAAAGCCAACGAAGTTCCCCATTTCTCTTTATGTCCCTGGGTCTGCTGGCGACAGGCGGCCCTCCAACACCTCCCAGTACGACAACCTGTCCGAGGCTGATGACGAGGACCGTTTAGTGGAGAGGTTGCTGGCCTCTACTCCTGAGGAAGACCTCAGCATCCCACCTTATACTACTGACAGAGACTACGACCCTGCCTTCTACCCTGTACCCCCACCTCCCGCCTTCATTCCTCCGTCTCCTCCCTCCATGTACACTCTCCCTAGTTTGCCTCAGGAGCCTGAATATAAAGGCGAGGACGGCTGGGTGGAGGATTCCATCATCCCCCCTCCTCCATCCCGTTTTGCTGACAGACTGGTTCCATTTCAGTGTACCACTGCCATCTGCTTGGACACACACAGAGCCGTGTCACCAGTCTACTCCAAGAATTTCTCCAGGGGCCCGAGAGACCACTCCGCCTTCCCAGCACCTTTGTTGTACACGGGGTCACCTCCAGGTCACTCCAGGTCGTCAGGACAGTCACCAGTAGGTGTGGCCCTGGTTCGATCCAGCCCTGACTTCTGTAGGACGCCTCCTGGTGGACAGGCGCTGCCAAAATCAGTGACTTTTTAATAAGAATTTGCATTTCAAACCCCTTTAAAAGGCCAGTATGTCTGTGTGAGAAGAGAAATTTTCATATATTATCTACTGTACAGATATTTGTAAAGGAGTTGGTGTCAAACCCATTTAAAATGTTCTTAATGTTGGTCAAACTGTGTATTTATCAGGCTTAGTTGTTCATAATATCACCTGTGGTTTAATTCTGGTTTGTTTTGGACAGACAGACACAAAAGCACAGTTATCAGCTCCAAGTAACTCCAACAAAGTGTCTTAAACTATCTTGGTGCTCCGATTATCGCAGCTCAAACCAGGGTATCTGCAGGTTTAAGGGAGCCAAATTTAAGACTTTTTAAGACCTTTTTTTAAGGCCACTTTGACCAAATTTAAGCTATTTAAGCAGGGCAGCAGTAGCTCAACAGGTTGAGCGGGTTGTCCAGTAATCGGAAGGTTGCAGGTTCGATCCCGGCTCCGGACAGAGAATTCTGCTGTTGAGTCCTTGGGCAAGACACTTAACCCAACTTGCCTGCTGGTGGTGGTCGGAGGGACCGGTGGCGCCTGTTCTCGACAGCCTCGCCTCTGTCAGTGCGTCCCAGGGCAGCTGTGGCTACATCATGGATGTGTGTGAATGGATGAATGATACACTGTAGTGTAAAGCGCTTTGGAGTCCTGACTCTGAGAGGCGCTATACAAGTGCGGGTCATTTATCATTTTAGCTATAATTTCCAGCTGTTGCCTGGAACCGGTGCTAACCATGCCACGATCGTGGGATTAGCCATCCAGTTACCATTAAACTTGCACTTCCCCATGGTGCAAGCTCCCACTAGCTTAACCAGCTAACGTGCTCATCTAAAAATAGCCCCCTTTCACAACCAACTGAATGTGTACGGTTCCGCTTACGCCAACAACGTACACAAAAAACGCTGAACACCAACTAGAAATTCACGAAAATTTTATAGAAATAAAAGAATCTTGTTTATTGGGTCTTTGGTCATTTAAGACCTTTGGAAACTGTATTTAAGGATTATTTGTAATTTTTAAGGATTTTTAAGGCCTTAAATTTGGAAAAGCTAATTTAAGGCTTTTAAAGACTTTTTAAGGACCCGCGGATACCCTGTAACGCAAGGGCTTCTCAGGCTGCCAGGGAGGATCACCGCTGTAGCGTTTGTTCTGAAGTCGCAATTAAACCATGAGCAGGCTCACGGTATTAATGAGAACCCGTCAATACCGCTTTGTTACATCCACTGAACAGATAATAATAGATTTAATGTGGCATAAAAGTAAAGAAAAAGTACATTTCCTTGTAGCGCCACCTAGTGGCCAGATCAGAATGACTGAATTTCAGCTCTAAATGTTTTGTAAAAGAGGATCTCCACCTTTTTAATATAAACATTATGCTTATCTGTCCAAGTCTATTAACAAATGTTACAGATCAGGGATGAATTCAAATGGATCAAAACCTTATTTATTCATTCAGAGCCATTTGTGTGACTTCGGTGTAAAGTTTCCTGGAAACGTGTCCTTGTAAAATGGAAGATGAGCCATAAAATACTTTATAAGGAACTTTAAATAACTAGTTCAGAAATCTGCACAGCAACAGACACAATTTTCAGACCTAACACAGAAACGTGTAATATTTTATTTGTATTTTGCACCGGTTTGGTCTTTTTTTTTTTCAAGCGTTTGCTTAAGGAGGATCTTTGGTCTTGCGGTGCGAAGACTCAGAATGTTGGACTCTCGGCGTCTTTTGTTATGCAACTCCAAACTGTGCATCTCTACTTTTATCAATCTGTCACCATGGAGACCGGATGTGAGACCAAAGCTGATCAACATTTATGCAACTACTTGAGTTTTTATAAAGAAATTAACTTTAACCGTCTTTGTGTTATTTTAACCACAGGATCAACTTTTTACTGATTTCAGACTTTTATTGCGCACCCATAAAAATCATGCAGTCCTGCCTATTGTACAAATGTGAAGTGGCTTCGTATGAAGCTATGTGAGCGTGTTTAACCTTAAGTAAACATTAGCAACATTATGTAAGAAAGCAGCCACAAGCTGCACTTGATAAGGCACTCTATACATTTAAATCTGCAACATAATCTTTATATTATTCTTAAACTACAAAGTTTTAAAGGACATACTAAGCCACACTCTTCAATGCAAGCTGCTTGGCTTTTTATCTATTTTACAGATTCCATGAATAAAAAATATATTTGTATGTAATACAAGAACAGCCCGCCACGGCCCTGACAACCATATATATTCGTGCACATCATCTGAGGATCGTCAGAACGAGTTGAATCAATTCTGACTTCTTTAAAGTGGTTTTTTTTATTTATTACCATAACAAAATGTCCTGCCTTCATATAAATAAGAGTGAAGTGAACTGCATGGTGACTCTAGAGCTGCAGCGGCGGCTCCACGTTCACATCTGGAGCTGACTCATGAGGTTTGAAAGTGAGGCGACGCTCTCCCTGAGTTTGGAGTCCTGCTCCTGTCCCAGCGACACGCCGGCCAGGCGAGTGGATCCATTTGCTCCCATGATGCAAGGCAGACTGAAGAACACCTCTGCACCTATTCCCCCCCAGCCCTGAGGGAACCAGAGCCGTTAGAACCCACATGATGGAGAATGGCGTTTTCATACGCTGGGTAAATCACCTGAGCCAGGGTGGAGATGGAGTGCGCCTTCATCTTATTTGTCAAGATGCTGTTGGTGATGTCGGCAACAGAAAGGCCCACAGACCACGACCTCTGACCTCGATTCTTTATGAGCTCAAAAGCCCTGTAGACATAAAAAATGTTCAAAAGCCCATAAAACGAATCCTTCAAGCGAAGGGAGGATGTAACGGTACCTGTCCAACAGCAGTTTGGTCGAGTTGGATCCCGGTGTGATCTCAGGCGTGTCGGAGCTCAGCCCAATGCTGCTCATCACAGAAACTGCAAACAAAAACAACGCATAAGCCTTTTAGGATGAGACCACCAATAATGAGGGCAAAGGACCTACGGGATGAGCTGGTGCTTTAAATGGTTTTATAAAAACAACAGAGATAAATATAGAACCCCAATATCTCCAGCATGGGAAACATTCAGATTCTTCTCTTTTTGGCTTACCTTTGTTGTCTGAAAGTTCCCCTATGACCCATGCAGGTTTATGAGTGTTCAGATTAATATCCAGAGCGTGACTGAGCCGCTCCGAGTCCAGATTACATCCCGCTCCGACCACATGTGTCGGAGGAAGTCCACTCTGCCTCCAGGCCACGTGTGTCATGATGTCCACTGGATCGGAAGCACAGATTTTTGGGAAAAGTTTGTTAAAGCATTTTTTTAAGTCATTGAAGGTAGAATCTGGTGCCATTACTGACCTGGTTGTGATGCAATGAGCATGATGGCACCGGGGCTGAAACGTGCCAGATTTGGGATTATTTTTCTGTACAAATCCACATTAGTCTGAACCACGCTTACGTAGGACTGCTCGCCGCTCCACGCGTTGGCCGTCACCACGACGACCCGGGAGCCGGCAGAGGCCGATAAATCTACAGAGGTGGACAAAAAAACATCTTCAGGTCTAACGATAGAAAGTCCTGTAGACACAAAGCTGAAAGCTTTATTATTTCAACCTCTGACAGCTCCCATAGTGATGAGTCATCAAGTAGTGACAAGTGTTCTTAGCCAAGACGTTACAGCATGACGGTGCAGAAAGTGGCTTACCTCTTGATACCTCAACCTTTGGCACGCTGAATATTTCTAGATCTGTGCTGCCACCTTTGGTGGAGCTCTCAGCAACATCAATGAAAACAAGTTTATCCACATTACACTAGAAAAAACGTAGAGTGGGGCGATGTTAAGAAATAAAATGTGAAATGTAGACCATTCAATAAAAGACGTTACATTTTTATAGTTACTTTAGATAAAATGCTCATCACACACGCCATCCCTAAATCCCCTCCCCCGATGACTGAAACTTTTAAGGTCTGTTGTTCCTCGGGCTTGACTCTACCTGAAAAAAAAGGTTAGCCATCAAAAAGATGGTATTAAAATAGAAGAGTGAAGCAACCTGTAAAAAAAAGAAAAAGCACCATCACTGATCTGGAGATTAGAGACGAACGCCAGGAGCTGATGAGGGTCTTTGTTGTCCTCCGTGATCTTCGAGGACAGCGGAGGCTCTTCCTCAAACTTAGAGATCATCTCATTCAAAAGCCCAACGACTGATGACTTGGGCTGTTACAAAGCAACAGAAGAAGAGGTGGAATGAATGAAAACATCGCAAAGAGGAAGAGATGTTTGCATTTTAGAGAGAGACTCTCACATAATCCCAGTTGTGAAGTCCTGGCAGGTAGATCCGTCCTTTGGCATTGACATGCTTGCCCTCCCTGATGACCATGTTGGAGGTGGGTCTCAGGAGACAGATGGGAGGCGTGAAGGGGAAGGAGTCCAGAAGCCACAGCTTAATGGGGATGTTGTAAGAGCGACCTTAGTGACACAGATGCTTTCATTAGAACAAATTCAAAGCACAGTTCTGTAATGATAATTTAATCGGTCATTGAGCGAAGATTTAATCCGTGTTACCTTTATACTTTACAGGAATGACACCAGTTAACTTCAGGAGATCTTTCTGAGTGCTGTCAGTGTATGCTGAAATGTGTAACGCTTCTTTTAGTATCTACTAGAGACGCAAACATCTGTGGTGATGAATGAGAACGCAACAACTCACTGTAAGTAGCTGTGGACGGTCTCATCTCAGGGAAGAGTCGATGGATTTTCTGCAGCTCCTCAACGGCAACATCATGAAATTTGTACTGACAGGAGAAAACAATTATCTGGGTGGAGCTAATAGGAGGTTGAATTGGAGCATCAAGGCAGAGCTAATTTCATCCACAGATATTTATTCAGTAAAATCTCAGCTCAAGATCAACACAACTGATGTTCAGGATTGTTTAGAAAAGTTTTGCATCCACATTTGTCACCAGTGCTCTAGCTTTTATCACTCCAGACTCCTAAATGATCAGCTGATTGTGTTGATTACCTGGCAGCACCTACATGCTATTTGGCCTGTTGATCCCTGAGATGTCAGGGCACGTTTAGTTTTCCCACGCTCACTGAATTAAATAGGTCATCGTGTGTCACGTGATTAGACCTGATATTAGCTGTTTTATTAGTCTTAACAGAAACCATATGGGTGAAAACGTATGTTTAACTTTGACATTTTGTGAATATTATTTAATATTTCAGATTATTTTCAGTAAATTAAAACAAATACGCAGTAAATCAGCCCAATGAACACCCTGTGATGTGTCTGGCCCATTACGCTGTTGTGATTTCTCCGTTCCTTGCTTTATTCCCAATTATTTTTAAGTTTCTCCCTGACATCGGTAAAAAAATAAAAATAAAGCTGGTTCTGCCAGTTTGTTTAGACTGGCAGCAGCTAGCATAAAGTCGATGATGCTAGCCAGCTAATAGGTAGCAATTTTAACTATTTTGGGTGTATGTTGCCAATTTAATAAATGACTCACCTTGGAGAGGATCCGCTGTATTTTCTCTGACTTGAGGTCCATCTATTTAGTAAAAATAATAAAACAAACGCGTTTATGCCCTCTGGTTCTGATATGGCAGCCGATTATCTTGAACTTCAGCTCTTTCAATAAACTTCCGCAAACTTCAAGGAGTAGCCAAACAGGAAGCTAGGTTACACTGACGTCATTAGAAGAATTACTTCAAAATTACCCGGTGTCCTGCACAGAATCTGCTCGGGGTGTCCAGGATCGGCTCGTAGTCCTTCGACATCCCGATGACGTCAAAGTAGTTGATTGGCTGAACATGAAGCTTACGGAAGTGATGCTATCACGTTATGATTTTGATTGGTCAGAGCATATTTGCGGTAGTAGTCTTAGTGGTTGTAGCAAAAATCAACACTTTTTGGAGAAAATATGTTTGAATTTCTAAAGGAAATGTAAAATATAAGCAAATGATAAACGGTGACCCTCAAAAGCTCTTGATGTTGATGAAATGGGGCAAAATAAAATACAAGAACTTTACTGAAAGACACCAAGCAATATTCTGAGTCAAAGAATGTATTTAGATAACAACTAAGGAAATATACAGACAAACTTCACATTAATACAAAGAGATATGGCTTCACGTATAAGAACTGTTCTATTTTTTGTCAGTCCGATGTTGGTTTTATGCTGTTTCACATTCTTTACAAAACAAAGATAATATGGTGTTTTATTAACAAATTACAATGATAGAGAAAACATTTAGGTGTTAACAAACAAGATTTTACCGTAAATCCTCTAATATTAGCCTATATTCAATTAACTGCCGGGTATCATATTTTGGCTGATGTCGGAGACGGCGGAGGTGAATAATATGGCCGTTTTTTTATTGTGGCCGGGTGGAATGTGGTAACAAAGCAAGTATGGGGGTGGTTGTGTCATCCATCTCACTTTTGATTTGCCAGTGATAGACCACGAGCGTAACTTTAACCGTGCAGAGACGAAGAGGAGGCGAAAATTTGATATCAAGTTCAAAGAGAACGTGCTGATTACGCTTCAGAATACTCTGGGGAGCAGTAGCAGGGGTTGTATGAACTAGTCACTAGTCAACTTCACTGCTCTATAGTGACTTTTTATGCCTGTCATCGACTAGTCGCTGTCACGTGATACTGACCTGCAAGATGCAGTCCTCTGAAAAGACAGCAGCCTGCTGTCAGCAGGTGACAAGCTCCTGCGTGTCGGGAGGCAATGCGCTGTGCCAGAGCGTCGGTCCTGACACCCGCCGTAAAATGGACATTTAACCAAATTGTGATGTTTACCCTCTTGCAATTTAACCTTCCTTCCCCTCACCCCCATCCTAACCTTAACCAGCTTGCGCATGCAAAGCTCTGCATGATTGTTGACGCGCTCCAGACATCTGCGCCCTGAGCACGGCCACAGTAACATTATCAAATCAGGTGTCGCCGCCTCAAAAACTAATTTAACACGCGATCGTTCATGTCGGCTCATTTCCTTTTATGTTTTCTGTCTTTTATTTGTGCCTGATGCTTTTCGCTGCTGTGGATCGGGGTGCATCACCTGTTTTGTCCTCTGTGACACAACTAACGGATGTGGCCGGCGAGCAGCGCGCACTCCGCTGTTTTTGCGGTCGGTAGATCTTTTAGAACTGCAGTTCAAAGGTAACTCATAAGGTGAATATATATGAACCCAGGAAGCAGTTTTTCTTTAGGATTGAGAGGAGATGCAGGAAGATAATAAACAGACAGGACAGAAAAATAGTCAAATAAAAACAAGTTAGTTTTTGTACCTGGTGGTTGCAACAAACAGACACAATTGAAGGTAATCAGAAGTGAGGAACAGAAAATGAAATAATTTTTTAAATGTTTAGAGCAGCAGGAACTCTGAGAGGCTGCAGGCGCATCAGTGAGTTTGCAGCCCCTGCGCAGGGGGAGGGGTAGGTCTGAAGCAGAAACTACCGTTGTTAAAAGAAATGTGTTTAACTTTGAAAATGTGGGCGCAATTTTAATTGTCAAAAACTCCAGCGAACCATTAGTTCATTTTGCTCAAATAGAAATTGAGGCCCGCCTCTAATTCTGGCCCTCCTTCCAATAAGGCCTGGAGCTTGATGAGCTTGAGTCAAATACAGGCCCGGGCCTGTATTAGAGGATTTACGGTAAACTGCTGATGTCTTTCCAAAACTATGTGTGAAAGCCGAGTAGAGTTGCAGTAACGTGACGTCATCGGCAGTCGAAGGACCCCGAGCCGATCCTTCCGACACCTGTATGGCACGCCATTGTAGCATATAATGAAGACACATTTGTCTAGAATTAATAAAATAAAATTGGACGGATATAATGTATTTACTTATAACAAAAAGTATATTTATAATTTTTACGTAGCCAAATGGAATTTTAACAACCCATTTATGCTGCATGAGGCAGCTGAAGAAAGTCAACCTGCAGTCAATGAGGGAGTTCTACACCGCAGTCGCGTCGAGTCTATCCTCATCTCCTCTGTCACCGTGTGGTATGCTGGAGCTACCAGCAGGGACAAGAAGAGGCTGCAGGTTGTACGCTCTGCTGAGAAGGTTGTTGGCTGCAAACTCCCCTCAGATCACAGCTGAACTGTGTTACCCTGGACAGTCTTTTTTACTCACTCCCATCTGGCAGAAGGCTCAGATCCATTCGGACCAGAACCTCTTGCCACAAGAACAGTTTCTCCCCCTCTGCAGTCGGACTCATGAATGACAATCCTAGTCGCTTGGTCCCGCTCACCTGACCCTGTGCTGTGTTCAGAGGCGGAGCTGGCCTAAATGGCGCCCTGTGCGAGATCCCCCTGTGACCCCCCCCCCCCCCCCCCTTTCAAAACAAAAGGAGGGACTGTTCGCAGGAACCGAATTTCACCACAGGATGTCATTTTCCTTTATTTCTACATAATGCTACTTTAACTGGGAAAATGTCTAAAAACCACACACAGCAAGTATTAGGTGTGCTTTGGGGATGTGGATGCTTTTGTCAGAAATGTTTCAAAATAAAGTTAAATTATATTGATTTCACACACAACCTGTAACAAGTAGATTTGTTTGTTTTTAATAAAAGGAAGAAAGAAATATATTTGCCACAAGTGGCTTTTGAAATATAATCCAAATTACACCCACACACAAATAAATATAGTCAGACTGAGAAAAACTGAGAATAAATAAAATGCTTTAGGTAGTATATTTCTAATACTACATAAAATAAGAAATTGTGAAGTTTTCTGCATAAGCATCTAATGGTATGTACAAGTATCTTAAAAATTAAGAATTTCTGCACCAAGATGAAAAGAGGAAAACAAGCAACATCTGCCATTAATTTTATAAAAATATTCCCAAAATAGTTCGTTTGCAGCTTAAGTATTTACAGATGGGGACTTCTGTAAACCCAAAAACGTCCCATTACTTTGTAATGCCTGAATAACTTGTGCACATGATCATTTTTGGGTCATCTTTGACTAGAATTTCTCTTCCCCACTCAAACCCAAGACGGTCCAACATATGGATACGAGACTTCACGTAACATCTGCAGACTCCACTGTCCCATCATTCAGAAGGTACAAAGACAGTTTATTTATCAAAACAGGAACAAAGAGCTTCAGTTGGTTTTTTTCCTCTTGGCCTTTTTTCTGATTTCTTCTTCTTCTCGCTTCTCCTCCTCCAGATCCTCCTGCACGGCCATTCTCAAACTAAAGATGCAACAAATTGAGAATGTGAACGGAATTAGGTGAACGAAGGCAAATTCACAAGCAGCAATAAGTTTATTTTCATTTTAATACCTCCTGGCTTCTTCTTTCTGCATGTCTTTCCAGCTGCTCTCCATGAACTTAAGTGCATAGTCACTTTCATCTCTGTATCTGAGATTAGAGGCAAAAATTGATGACCAACATTTCAAATATATGTATATATTTACATATTAATACTTTTTAAACCACGAAAACCCAGTAAGATTTGCTTTGAACCATCAGCAATAGTTAACTCATTCACTGCCATTGATGACTAAAGTCGTCATTTGCATTTTTTTTACTGTTTGAGCATCGGAACGAGCCCCCACGCTGAGAGAACAAACATCTCAGCCCTGAAGCCGATCTTCATCCACATACGTCACAGATCACATGATCAGGAAGCAACACATCCATGTGTTTGGAGATCGTTTTGGGCCAATCCTGTAAAAAAAGTGAGGCGCGAACCGGAAAAGCGTCTGCCGATCACAATTCGACAACGGATTATGAAAGAACGGATAACGCTCGAAACACGCGGCTTCTTCCTGATGTAAGAGGTGAGTCTCCTCTTTGTTTTGGTTGTTTTGGCATCGACATCATGCTAGCGAACAACGTTCTGTGACTCTTAAAACAAACAGTAAAAACAGTGAGAAACGCTGGCAGCGAAGGCCGTTAGTGATCAGGAAACGGCTGGCAGTGAATGAGTTAAGGACTTAAGGACAGCACTTACTTCGATCGATCGTAGCCAAAAATTTCTCGAATGTGCCTGGATACTTCCTCTTGCTCGTCACCTTCATCATCAATAAAATCATCCATTTCTGGGTCGTACTCTTCCTCCTCATCTTCATATTTCCTCTTGTATGCAGATGTAATCGGTGGCAACATTGGTCCTGGAAAATAAGTAACAGAGTTTATTTCATTTCATGCAAGCCGAAAACCATTTAAAGGCACATTAGGCAGTTTTGGCTTGCTTTTAGCACCCCCTAGTGTTTGTTCAGTATCAAATCACCTCTCCTCGCTGTGAGTTAATCTTTTTAACACCTTAATCTAACAGCTGGAATGTCTCCTCAGCCTTCATTAGTGTCTACAAGTGTGGTTCATCACTAAATCAAACAATTCAGCTGTGTTCATAATCTAAAACATGCAGGAGCCGTGCTGGAAGCAGACTGCAGCACCAGGCATGTAAAGGGTCGTTTTAGCACATACGGGCTCAAGAAAATGATTTAAAAATATGCAAAAGTTGCATAGTGTCCCCTGAAACACCTCTGAGACATCCACATCAGAGCTGGACACCGAATCGTTTCATTTAGTTAGTTAGACAGAAAGGTTGCTGCTCTGTGACCCAGTAATAACGATAAAAGCAGCTGACAAAGTCTGGCAAACAAACCCTTTGCCCTGCCATTCTCTGTCTCTTTGTCATGTTTGTTTAAAATCAGCAAGTATACATTCTATTACTACATTCATTTTAATTAAATGTACAGCGACTAAATACAGGGATGTTCATACCTGATCATGGTTCTGATCAGGAGCAGAAACTAAAGGCTCACATGTAATCCAAGTACAGATAACTACAAGTTTGTTTTAGCAGTACTTGTGGTAATACTTTCCTCCCGTGGGTACGTCTGAAAACAGAAAACGATTCAAGTGATACAAATTCATGACTTATCCTCTTTTTGGTTCTTACCTGGTGGTCTGTTCATAATAGGTCTGGGCGGCATTCCAGGTCTGGGCGGCATTCCAGGTCTGGGCTGCATCCCAGGTCTGGGCGGCACCCCAGGTCTGGGCGGCACCCCAGGTCTGGGTGGCACCCCAGGTCTCTGCAGCATGCCTGGCCGAGGAGGGACACCCTGTCTGGGTCCGCCTACGTTCTTGGATGAGATGGTCTCCGACACAACAGTGCACTTGGGTCTTCCAGGCCCTGAACCAATGCTGCCAATCTGTCGCCCCTGTGCCGGTCCTCCACTACCAGATCTACCTGGTACAGTTCCTGGAGGTCGAAACCCACTTCCTCCAGGGTGACCCTGTGGACCAACTCCACCTGGTCTGGCCTGTGGTGCCTTCACAGATTTGGTGCCAACAGGCCTTCCCGGAGGCTGGCCTCCTGGCTTAGCAGGGCCACCCGAAGAAGGTCTCATCACCGAATTACTGTTAGATTTGACCCCAGAACTATTTCCATGCCTTAGTGGTTCCCCTTTGCTGGATTTGAAGCCTCCAACTGTGGACCCTTGCCTCATGGAACTACCCTGAATGGGTCTGGTCTGCTGGCTGGAACCAGTTGAACTTGGCCTGTTCCCTGGAGTACCTGAAGCTTCTTTTGGATGAGATGACAAATTGTCTTTCCTGAAGCTGAGGTCACTGGAGGTGCTGGACTTTTTGGTGGCGGATGAGGGCTTTGGGCCTACTTGTTTGACTGAGGTGTGAGATGTTGGGGGTTTTGGGGGGAGTTTACCGGATGTGCTGGACATGCTACTCTTAGACCTTTCTCGATCACTGTGAGGAATCCTGCCTCGATCTCTTTCTTTATCACTAATGGGGGCCTTAGAAGAAAGACCTCTGTCACTTGTCAGCATCGGGTGTGGCTTCCTGCCTGACCCATTAGAGGGACTTGGCTTCTCTGAAAAGTTCTTTTGCGTTTGTGGTCTGCTGAGTTTCTGTTCTTTCTGTTGAGGGCCTTTTCTCATCAAGCCAGAGCTAGACTGAGACTTGCCATTTCTTTCATTCTCTGTCTTTGAGTCTCTGTTTTGGCCAAGCCGCTTAGCTTTGCGCTCCATCTCCAGTTCCCGGATTTCGTCAGCCGTACGGAGCCTTTCATCATTTTTGAGTACCTTGGGTTTTAAATCAACTGGCTCAAACTGCTTCTTTTCTGCCAACTTGAGTAAGTCGGCAAAGTTCAAAGGAGAAGAAGCAGATTTGGGTGGACCACTGTTTTTCTTTGAAAATGATTTGTTGCTGCAACTTGCATTGATGCCAGTTGTTCTCCCTGGTCTTGCCAACTCTGGCTCTTCATCGTGCTCAGAATCTGTCTGCTCATACTCATAATTATCTTCATCATCTAAAGGGTCAACAAGGTTATTCCTAAATTTCTCAGGTCTTGAACCATCTTCCTGCCTATCAAGTTTTGATGTCCTCTTTTTAGGACCCTCCACCACTGGAATACCATTGTATCCTTTGAAATTGTCCTTGGTTCTGGATGCCATGGCTCGTGCTTTCCGATCAGACTTCAACTCGACCCTCTTTGCTAAAAGCTTCTCCTTCTGTCTCTTCATTTCAATTTCTTAAAAAAATAAATAAATAAATTGAGTAAATATCCAAACACTTACATAGTATCTGGGCAACACAAATAAGATGTTTGCATCAAATGTCAATGTATTGTTATAAAGACCTTTCTTTCTGCAGTCAATGTGCTGCTTCTTCAGAAGTGCCTGCACAGCAGCCGGGTTCACGCCTTTGGATTTTGGATCCTTTTTTGGTGGCCCAGCTTGTAAACTGTAGCGCTTTTGCTGAAGAAACAAGGAAAAAAAAAAACCGGATTATTTGGCAAAATGGAATAGAGGCACTGTGATCTGGTGCAAACTGACAGTTTAATCTAAAAAAGTGGCGCACAATGAGCATTCCAGAAGGGACAGAATAAAAAAAAGGTAAAAATGAAAGGTCATCAAGCTTGGAGCTCAGTAGTTAGCTCAAATCATCAGATCCTTACTGCTTACACTGACGTGACTAACATTTGGTTTTGACGTAATTAAAAGAGATGAATAGATGAATACATATTTTAACTCACCTGTACATTGCTGACGCCCTGGTTTTGTGAAGCGATGTTCAATACATTGTCAAAGTCCATCATTTTGACAGCAGATGGTGGTAGCCTGTTTAGCTAACCGAGTAAATCTTAGCTAAAAATGCCGAAACTGTTGTTTAAATGTAAGCGTTAACGACCTGCACTTAGCTTGACAGCTAAAAGATCCTGTGTTGTCAAACACAATGTACGGGGACAAAAACAGTATTTCCAAAAGTAAAAATGTTTTCACTTCATCGCTGTAGGATAACGTGGGCTAGCAACGTTAGCTAACCATACGTGTACACAGAGCTGTAAGCGTCAGCTAACCGAGAATCCAGCCAAAGTGCTCTTTGGACTGAAAACACATGACAACAAGGTAAGACACATCAAAATATCATAAGATTAGATGCTATTAAAAGTCAATCTTCAAGAAACACCGTATTGTTACACGGGGTGTTGTCCAACGGAAGGCAAAGTAGTAGTAAGCTAGACAAAATTATGGGACCAAACAGAAATGTACGGGAGCAAGACAAGTCTCAAAACGTATTTCCGCTTTTGTGTTCACACTGAGTCTGCGCAAAAGCTTTCCTTGGCTTCGGGAAAGGAGGAGTGAATTCTCTTGACTTCGTAAGTGTAGGCTTTATTAATTAAAAATACACTAAAACGTGTACAGAGACGCTGTAGCCAAGTAAAGATGATGTTAATGCCAAACAAAAAGCTAAATATTGGAAAATAAATAATTTGATGAAAATATACTTTATTCTTTTTCAGGCCTAGACTTTTTTCACGTGCGTTTCTACGTCATGTCCGCCCCAAAACAACTTTGACAGTTGCAGAACACATGATGTCGCCACTTGATCTAGAACACTCTGGAAATTGAACATTTTCCCCTCCAGTGGTGAAATTACAAGTGTTTCGGTTAATTAAAAAGCAAAAATTAGAACATGATTTAAATGCAAGTGAATATTCTGCATTGAAAATTGCAAAATGTAAAAAAAAAAAAAAAGAAAAAAAAAGCATAAATCCAAAGCTAACTAAGGGCATTTATGTCATGTGATTTAGTGGACTTTTAAGGTGTTTGAGTACTTGCCATTTATTTTATTATTTTTAACTCCTCAATTTTAAAAGAAGTTCAAAGGCAAAAACACATCACTCGTGCACTTGTCTGTCTGCACTGACATTGTTTTCACATTAATTTCAGTTAACTTATGATCCACATTCCTTTGATAAAATGGCCTTGCTCCTAAAAAACATCTCTGGCTTATTCTGGTGCGTACACCTAACCACTAAGATATGAAGACAACGCCCCGAAAAAGACTCCTAGGTCACAATTTTAAACAATAGAAGGTCAAGCCTTTTCCTTTACAGGTCAGACTTCACGATAAACTCTGCATGCTCAAGTCAGATGCATCAGTAGCATAAAGCTACTTCCTTTTCATGTAAAAAAATTATGCAAGCAGATTTATTTCTAAACTAAGTAATCTATAAACTGTCTTGCCCCCCTGCAAGCTCTAACAGTAGGCCTACAGATTGTTGCAGAAGCAATAACATCACGTTACATTTCAAAGGATTATTAGGGCACATGAAAAAACTAAAATACCAATGAAAAGGTGACTTTGTTGTTATTTTTTCAGTTAGGGTTACTTTATTGTAAAGTATTTTCAAGCAGAAGTGAGTGATGATTAACCAAATCAAGGAACACTGGCATTAAATCAACACCACGTGATTGTTATTCACCAGATAATTGGTTTTAATTCGATTGAAAATATGTTTGATGATGAAAGAATGTGGGATCTAAATTCAAGAGGATTAACACTTCAAATAGTGCGTGTAGAAGGATTTAAAGAAAGCTGCGTTTTAGTGAATTGCATGCTCTAATCCACCGTAATCCATCTCCATCGGACTGTCCCTCACAATCGACCACAAACTTGACCCTTGATACTGCTTAGCTCCATTTTTGAGAAATGTAAATAAAGGCCATCTGCTTCAATGTGTAAACAGCGGGCATGCTCCTCCTATCAGAGGCGTCGCTGTCTCTTCGGCCCACCCCCTGCAGGGCCAATCTCTGCTCCCATTGGCTTAAATCGTAGGCCTGCATGCGTTACTGTCCGTCTGTTTCCTCCTACCGGACGTCGCACCGCCCACGAGATCGAGGACAAAAACAATCGGCATCCCCTTTGACAGAGGAATACAAACAAGAGGATCCGAGCGAATTTAGAAACTTTTGAGCTCGTTTCACCGACCCGGACGGCTGTAAGGGAGAAATGGTCTCTCCGGTGACAGTGGTGAGTCTTAGCGTCAGACACCGGCGTTTGAGACGAACAGGAACAAATGAAAGTAACAGCGTGTTACATGATAACAGGTCTTCCGAAGACGACCAATTCTGTCTTTAAATCAAAGCTAAATTTGCTCACTCAGCCTTTATTTGAGTTATCATTGAAAGCTTGCCATACTTTGTGTCGCGCGCACGGCGCATGCCCACTGGCTTGATTATTTGATTGCTAGTAAATAAGAATGCAGCGCATTAAAACGTGCTGCAGGACACACCTGGACATCTGTTACGTTGCCTTGATGCAGGCGTATTTTGTCATTTGTTTCTGCGTGTGATTGAAACGTGACACTTTAACTTTTGTTATCCACTGTCGCTGTTTCCTTGTTTTCTTTTTGTCTTTTGTACGAACGTTCTTTAGATTTCAGGAAAAGAAAATGCTCGCAAAAATGAAAAACATCATGTGACAACCTTTTTTGTCTGTTTTTTTTCTTCATAGTAACACATGCGTCAAGCCTGTTCTGGTCTTTCCTTTCATGTCCTGTGCTTTATTGTTGGTGCAATGTGCATTACTAATGAAACTGCTTGCACTGACAGAAATATGAGATGGCTATATTTAACTGATCTGGCCGTACTCTTATTTTGAAAGAGCTGCTATGAAACTGTTTCCTATTTGTAACTGCCTTGAAGGATGGTAGTGTGATGGTGTAGTGTGATTTGCCTGTGGTAAACTGATATGTAGGTGTGTGTGTGTGTGTGTGTGGAGCAATGCTTCCCATGCAGGTTTCTGCAGACTGGTCCAGGATCTGCCAGACTGCTTTCGCTTTACTGGCCAAAAGCAGAGATGTTAGGGCCACCGTTAAACATTTAAACTGTATTATCTCCCCTCTAATGTCATTTTAATAAGAAACAAGTATTTTTGCTAAATTAAAAATATATTAGAGCTCTTACATTCACGCTTGTTCTTTTTAACACACAGCGAATCAGCCAATCATGTGGCTGGAGTTCAAGCTAGACATCAAAATAGGGAAAGGAGGGATTTATATGTTTTTGAATGTTGCGTGCATGATTGTTGGTAACTAACGTGCAGTCTGAGTTTTTCAGAGCCTGCTGAGTGCATGGGAGTTTTGCATAGTCCAGAAAAAGAAAACAGCCAGTGAGCAGCAGTTGTGTGGACGAAAGTGTTTTGTTGATGTCAGGTCAAATGAAAATGGGCAGACTCGTTTGAGATGATAACGAAACAGCAGTAGCTCAAATTACCACTCCAGCAGCGGAAGACCGCACCACAACTGTCAGCTAAGAACAGGAATCTGAGGCTAAATTTCACATAGGATCGCCATAAGAGATTGAAAACAGGGCCTGGTCTGATTTCATCTGCAACATTCAGATGGTCGTGTCAAAATTAGGTAGAAACATGGAAGTATGGGTCCATCCTGCCTTATATGACTATTTGAGGCTGCTGCTGCTGGTGTAATGGTGAGGGGGAGATGTTTTGGGCCTACTATGGGCCCCGTAGTACCAGTTTATTATTTAATCACCACACCTACCTGAGTATTGTTGCTGACAATGTCCATCCCTTTAGAATCACAGTAGACCTCATCATGATGGCTTTTTTCAGCACAGTGCACCATGACATAAAGTTCAAATAATCTAAAACAACATGACTGAGCTTTCACAGTCACCAGATTTCGATCCAGTCCAGGACTTTTGCGATTTGATGGACCGGGAGAAGCGCACCATGAATCTGCAGCAACGGTGCCATGCTGTGATGCCCAAATGGGCCAAAATCTCCAATTAACGTTTCCATGACCTTGTTGAATTTGTGTTGCAAAAGTTAAAGCAGGTCTAAAGGAAAAAGGCGGTCCAGCCTGGCACTAGCAGGTGTACCTAAAACGTAGTCGGTGAATGTAAAATGGAATCTCTTCAAGGGCAGCAGTAGCTCAGGAGGTAGTGCGGGTTATCCAGTAATCAGAAGGTTGTAGGTTCGATTCCGGCTCCCACCAGAGATTGCTGCTGTTGTGACCTTGGACAAGACGCTTAACCCGCTTTGCGTGCTGGTGGTGGTTAGAGGGACCGGTGGCGCCAGTGTTCGCAGCAGCCTTGCTTCCGTCAGTGCACCCCAGGGCAGCTGTGGCTCATCTGTAGCTCACCATCACCAGCATGTGCATGTGTGGATGACTGATTGTGTTGTGAAGTGCCTTGGGGGGTTGTGGAATCCTAAGAAGGTGCTATACAAATGCAGGACATTTACCATTTCAAAGGAAAAGTTACAAATCTCCATGTGATGTCAGAGATGGTTATTACCTTTCTGTAGGCCGTTAGGGTGATTTCAAATGTTTGGTCTTGTTTTGATGAAAACCTCCACACTCAGCACCATCTGGTGAGCCAGCTGTAGTGCTCATACGGGAACAAATTAATATTTGTGCTTTGCAGATAAAAAATTAAGTCCAGGATTCATAGACTGGGACTAGCAGCCATGATTAACCCACAGGTGCATGTTAATCCCATTGGAGGGCCCAGACCTGCAGCTGGTTCTCCCTTAACTATTTTTTACTTAATTAATACAAAAAACATTTTTTAAATATGCTATGCATTTTACTTTGTGTAATTTTATTTATTCATTTATTTAGTTTTTGCTTTGCTTTAAGTGAAAATGATTAAACTTTTGACCTGGAAATGATCTGAAGCCATTAGAGCAGCTGTAGGATGAGCGGAACAATGTGGCGCTACTGTAAACTCTCATTGTTGTGTGGCTACAATGTCAGCTGTGCATCTCAGGACTGTACTTGTGTTACAGTTTCCCTCCACCAGGTTGGGTACTCAAGCCTTTACAGGTCTTTAAATATTTCTGTGTATCGTGTTTCAGACCCACAATAGATGTTGTCCTGTCCGGACGTTGTTTGGTGCTCAGGTGAAGCTGGTTTGTGTTTGTTTACTAACTCTGATCCGAGTATCAGCTTCATATAACATAATAAACTCATCAAGCCATTTTATCTTCACTCCGGCATGACACCCTGCTGCCTCCCTGCAGCCAATCATTAACTTTGTGTTTTAGTTTCAGGTGGCTAAATGGGACGAAACGTTGGCAAACAACCTTGTGCCGTGTGGTCGATCAGGCGGGAAGATGAATTCAAAATGATTCATTTTGTTCGCCGCTAACAAAAACTTGTGTCCTCGTATTCGTCCTCACTCTAGCGATTGTGATTTGTCGCATGAAATGTCACTGTTCCCACGGACAGCCGAGGCTTTATTTAGTTTGAAAGGAACAGAATACAGCTGAGATGCAAATCAGCCCAGTCCTATTTAGAGAGAGAGAGAGAGGCAGACCGACCCCGAGAGAAATAAATCATTTACAACCCTGCAAGGGCAGTTTAAGATTTAGACAAGCAATTACACCTTCCCGATGGATCGATTTTTCTGCAAACTCATTTAAAAATATTCTCACCTGATGGGGAAACATTGCAGCGTTAATGATTATTAATGTAATGGTGAAACAGTAACTCACTGACGTAGATGTTGTCATCATCTACAGTAGATGAGACCAGCTGCTACGAGCAAATTTTGTTTAATTTCACTAAATGCAAAAAAATAATGTTGATTTAGTCATTTTGCTAATATCAGGTTTTAGGGACAACGTGCATCTCACACACTTATTGAGCTTTTTCATGCAGAGATGATACATGCTTAAAGTAAAAGTAAAAAAAAACAACAACATTTGGTAAGATGCAAAAAAAAAACCACCAAATGCAAAAAAGAGAGAACATTTCTTAGTAGCAGACATCCACATTTAGGACAAAAACGCATTTCATTCACTGGTTTAGTACTGAGTGAACTCGGTTAACATTTTTTTAGAAATGATAAAACTAGATGCTGAAAATAAAAGTTTTCCTCTTTTCACCAAACATTTAAGCACTGTTTCTCACAGGTCAGAAAATACCAAAGATAGCTTTAATCCATCCTTGAGTCCATTTCTAAATCCACTGATATTTTTTGCCTTCTCTGCCTGGAACCAGTTTGGCTTCAATGACACAGAAAAACTCAACACGGGGTCACATGCACGTACAAGGAAAAGTGCTCCAGTCACATTGTGAACTTCAGTTAAGCCAAAGCTAGAAATTCCTCTTTGCACCACTGGTGCATGGAGCCATCTGATAGGGTCTCAAACGATAGCATAAGCAGCATTCTTAAGGTTTTTTTGACCATAAAAATCGCAGCAAACTGCTTTTTACAAGGTTATTATGGAGGGTATGTGAGAAAAAACAGTACTAATTGCTCACATCTTGTTTGATACAGCACATTGTTTATGTTAATAATTAACTGAAAGAAATTTACGGTGCAGTAATTTTCCTGTTTGTGGTACCACAAAGCTCAGAACAAACCAAAAATGCAAATCAGAAACAAATTAGTTCCATTAAATGGATGCAAATGTTCACTAAACATGCTGAAGATACATTTGGGATTCTCAGGGCCGGTGCAAGCCTTTGTGGGGCCCTAGGCATGTTTTCCTTTGGGCCCCCCATGCCAACAAGTCGCCTGGGTAAAACATGCAGAATGTGCAATCACAACAATATAAAACCAAACAACACTGCTGACCTAAATGACTGTAACAAAACAATAAAGACATAATTTTGTTTGAATTAATTAAAGTAATAATTTTTTTAAATTATGCTATCTTGATGCTCTTAGGGGCCCCTGCTGGTGTGGGGGCCCCATTCTTGTACGCCTAGAGCCGGCTCTGAGGATTCTTTTAGGGAAATGTTTTGATATCAGCATGTCAGACTTAAGGACAACCCACTCTGGGTGATCTCCTGAGGGATTGTGAGTTCACAAAATAACAAAACATCCTAATTCCAGTCAGTTTGCTTTCAGCTGGAGAATCTTGGTTCTCTAAAAGAACCCTATAGAGCAGTGGTGCACATTCCTGGTCCTGGAGAACCAGTATCCAGCTTGTTTTAGTTTTAACTCCACTTCAACACACCTGATTTCAATCAGCAGGCGATTAACAGGCTTCCGCAGAGCCTGATGAGCTGCTGAACAGGAGATTGAACCACTTAATTAGGTGTGCTGGAGTAGAGAAGCAACGAAAACTTGCTGGATAAGCGGCTCTCCATGACCAGGAGTGAGTACCACTGCTATAGAGGCTGTAATGACAGCTGAAAACATGTCCTCTCATGTCTCCGCTGTCTCCCTGCTGGACACTGAACTCCATGATTGAACTACAACTTGATATGCTTTTTTATTGAGCTGTTGTGTAATGGAGGTCCTCTCTGCAAGGAGAGATTGACCTACAGTAAACTCGCTGTCTGTTCTTCTTCTCCTCTCCAGCTGTCGTCCAAATGTCTGTAAACCTTTTCCTGCAATTCTATTCATGTTTATGTTTATTCATTTAGCAGATGCTTTTATCCAAAGCGACTTATAATTTATAACCTATAGGGCGCGTTGTGATCTGTGGGGTAAACCGGAGTACCCGGAGGAAACCCAAGCGCCCTCGTGCCTCTTTTGCAATTAAGGTGACTGCTTTATTTCACCTTCCTCTGAGTGTTTCAAGAACAATTTCATAATTTAAATCTTTAAAGGTGTGGTTTACTCGTTTAATCACTACATTTGCAGCAGACTCTGGTAGGAATGAATGCCTTGCAAGACGTACTCGGGGCAAGAAAAGCCCAGAAGCGCGTGTATCAGCACTGACGAGTCTGCTGCTGCAGAGAGTGGAACAACACAGCCGGATTTGGACTCTTACATCCTGATATTTGGACATTTTATCTTGGATTGGATAAAGCCGGGCATACACTGTTTGACTTTTTCACTTTTTTGAGCTGATTTTCCAGTCGTGCGAGAATCCACGAGATCGGGGCGAGTTTTGCGCCGAGCGGTCGTGTAGTGTACAGGGGGTTACGAGAGGCGATTAACACCACGTGATCAGCAGTCGTGAGCTCGCACGGACTTCTGGCGTGTTTAAAATTTCGCTCGTCCCTCGTGAGGGTATCACACTGTTGAAGCGGCGCTGCGAGCAGCTGCGACCCAAAAAGTATCAGAACCGCTCACGGCGCATGTGCAATCCTGCATCAACGCCGCTCCCCGGTATTTCCCTAATAACACACGTTGTTCGTTTTTATTTCTACACGTTTTTTTACTCACAAAGATTGTTTGTCGTGTTCATGTCAAATCAAACTGATCACAAAACACAGATTTACTTTCTTTATTTCGTTTTCCTCATCCAACCCCCATAAATCCCTTTGTGTCCTCTTGCAGCACTCCCGAAGGACAACAGGCAAGACAAGACAAAAAAGTCTGACGTGTTGAGTAAAAACTGCTATATTTAGCATATTTTTAGGGCCGACGTGTTGCTACCAGACGTACGGTGTGAGCAGTCAGGTCGCATGCGAGAACTGGGTCGTGCAGTGTGAGCACATGACTCGTGAGATCTGCTCTGCGAGGAAGTCGTACAGTTTGAGCTGAAGCTGAACGCTGCGAGTGAAAAAGTCGCACAGTGTACGCCCGGCTTAACGGACTTTACCGCTGACTTGCAACGTTGACGTTTCATCTCCACAAATAACACAAGCTTTGAGGAGTTCTTCTGTTTGGTGGAGTTGCTAATGCTAACGGTTAGCTTCTAGTTGGGAAGTTCTCTGCTGACTCCTGAATGTTAATCCAACAACAGCCTTCCCCCGTTGTGAGTGAAGATGGGTGAGTTCATGAATGTTAAGCGACAGTGTGACGTATATCTGTCCGACTTTTCTAATCCCAGAGTTTCACCGTCTGTTTTCTATCAGAAGCTAATGCAGCAGATAGGTGTAGGAGACTATTTTCATGTTCAGCTTGCATTCAAAACTCAGATTGACTAATTATAATCAGAAATAATCATTAAAATGTGTTTTCAGAGTTCCAGTCCTTTAAACATTTCTTTCCCGTCTGCTTTCTGTCTCACTTTTGTCCTCCTCACCTCTCCTCCAGTGAACCCTCACTCAGTTCCTCTTCCTCCCAACTTAATCTTGTTATTTTGTCTGTTGTTCTCAGTGACCTTTCTGCTTTGGGAAGGATTCCCAGAACCTTTGTTGGTCTGTTAGGTGTTTTTGTGATCCGCGCTGGGACTAATCTATTTAGACAGAAATAAATCGGACTCGTAACACCGCAGGACGTTAAAACTTGAGCCTGAAAAAGCCACACGATGGTGAGGAAACAGAAGAAATAAAATGTTGCTGGGAATCAAATCGACGGCGATGAAGCTTTTTTTTCCCCCCCTTCCAGACATTTTAACCCTCTGGGGGCAGGCGTTGCAGATTTGCAACAGTTAAAATCTACCTACCTACCTGGTTACTCCACATACGTATTTCATGAGCATTTTTTAGCTCAGAAGTGCCCCTGAAGGGTTGTTCATCCTTTTATCAAAACTTATTTTGAGCCTGAGAGGGTTAAGCCGTCAGATGGTGTCTAATGATGACCTCACAAGCCCTCTAAAACATTTGCTTCTCGTGTTTTCCTTTGTAATCGAGTGAAATTCTGTACCTTTCCCAAACAAAGACGTGACTGTTTAAAGGATTCGAGAGCTTTAGATGGTTTGAGAGTGAGGACGATAACGTGTGCGACTCAGCTGACTGTGTAAATGTTCCGTCTGTTTCCAGGTGAAGAGCGAAGGGCCCAAGCTGGTGCCGTTCTTCAAGGCCACCTGTGTGTACTTTGTTCTGTGGCTGCCCACCTCCAGCCCGTCCTGGTTCAGCGCCCTGATCAAATGTCTGCCCATCTTCTGCTTGTGGGTCTTCCTGCTGGCTCATGGGTTCAGCTTCCTTTGTGCTCATTCCAGCGCCCGCAAGATCTTGGCCGGTCTCATCTTTTCAGCTTTAGGTGATGCCTTTCTCATCTGGCAGGAGCAGGGCTACTTTGAGCATGGTGAGGAGAAGAAACTCCTGTAAACATTCTATCATCTGGCTTCATTTTTTTGCAACAGCATCATTTTTGGTTTATTTAAAAGCAGGAGAGCTTAAATCTAAGTGAAAAGAAAGTACTAGATTGCACGTTTTTCCATAAAAATGCTTTATTTTAGTGTTTCTGAGCTCCGAAAGAACATTTTTATTACTTTTGTGATTGAGTGCTTCAACTGTGCTGAAACTCAAAAATCTGATTGCTTTTATGTCCATGAATGCATCACTACCAAGCAGTATAAAAACATCCAACATTTTCCCTTTCTGTGAACTCACCACACTAACAATACAGGAGATATTTGGTTTGAAACTTCTTACTTTTGAAAAAAAGGTGTTTTATTCAATTTTGTTCTTTGAAATAAATCCAAATATCCCAAATTTGTTGTCAGCTGGCGTTCTGACAGAGCACCATACATATCAGAGCAGTATACAGTTTTTGCGCATGAACATTCATGCTAAGTTCACCTCTGCTACGTTCAAAGGAGCCATCAGTTCAGCATACATTCCACAAAGTCATACTGTTGTTAAAATACAAAGTGTACGATGATCCGACAGGTAAACTGACCCATCAGGGTATCATACAGTTGCTAAAACAAAGTGTATGATGTAGGGTTGTCACGGTGTGAAAATTTAACCTCATGGTTATTGTGACCAAAATTACCACGGTTTTCGGTATTATCGCGGTATTTTTTTAAACGTGCTACATTTTCACACAATTAAATAAACCCTGTATGTCAGGAAATATTGTCCTCAGTTTGTGTCTAAATTTTGCCTAAAATGTGTTATTTTGTAATTATGTTGTTTATTTGTTTACATTTTTTCCCCTTTAGTCTTTAAAATACCAATGTTTGCCCATAACTTCTTATTTTTTGTCTGTTTGATGTCATCATTTCAAAAATATTAGATCAGATGATACTCAGTACTCAAGTAGCCTTCTAATCAGATACTTTTTTTTACCTTTACTTGAGTAATAAACCCTATATCAGGAAAATATTGTCCTCGGTTTGGGTCCTTCCAGTGAGCTTTGCAGATTTGGGAAAATGTCATCAGGCAGTAATCGTTGTTAAATTCATAATTATTCTCGCAGAGAGACCAGCTCTTATCTGCCCCTGGGAGCCCCGTAATGCATAGCGTCATTTCAATATGGGGGTGTCTGCGACACGGTTTATATGCAGGTAGCGGCGCTGCAGCTGCTTTATATAGCGACTCGTTGCATTCTCCCTCAACCCAAATCCTCGGATCACGCATTTTAGCTAAAACGCTAACGTTAACTTGCCTTGCGTTGACTGTAGAGTTGTGGGTGATGGTCACGCAGATGTGTCATGAGATTTGAAGCGTTGCTGCCTTTCACAGACACTTTTTCTGCACGTGCTGCAAACAGGATAGCCGTCTTCTATCAGCTGTCCCTCGGCATTCTTCAAATATCTAAAAGATGCCCGTACTTCCCACTTTGTCTTCTTTGAGGGATAAAAAATGTCCTAAGCACTGCCGTCTCCTCCTTTGGCCATAATTTCAGCTTTAGCTTCAATAAAGTTTTGGTTGTAAACAACAAAGTGCGCATGTACCGCCGGCAACTTCAGCAGATGATACGGTGGCTGGTAAGGGTCACCGCGCCTACACCGCAGCCACGGTAACCCACCGAGATAATATAGTTTTTTAAAAAACAAGACGGTTATTATTATTGTCAAGTTTTTTTACCTGGGTTTCTGCTACACCAGTTACCGTGACAACCCTAGTATGATGATCTGATGGGTAAAAAGGCTTGGGGCCAAAGTGTCGTACAGCGTTAAATGTATGATGATCTGACCGTGTATGTGTGCTGTCAAATATGCATACACTGTAACACGCATGTGCCAGTCTGACAAGGTATGGTGATTGGTTTTCTGACAGAGCACCGCACGGTCGGTTGGGAAACACGGAGATTAAGCGAAGCCTTTACGAAATATGCATCCTATACAAGGCTTATAACCAAAATAGACTCCCTAGAATAATCCCACCACCTGGAATTGTGACGCAAACGTCATATTAAACTGATGCATGCAGCGCAAAAGCCTTTTTGCAGAAAGTAGCAGTTAGCTCAGTGTTATCAGTTTTGGGTAATCAGTGTAAACACAAAGCAGATTTGTGTTTTGGAGTTTAAACCATGCATGTTGTTTCACACAGGGCTTCTAATGTTTGCCATCACCCACATCCTGTATTCGTCTGCCTTCGGGATGAAGCCGATAAACGTGCATGCTGGCCTGGTGATCTCCGCTGCATCTTTCCTGTGCTACCTGCTGCTGTACCCTTACCTGTCCGGGCCCTTCACCTACCTGGTGGCCGTCTACATCGCTCTGATCGGCTTCATGGGCTGGAGAGCCATCGCCGGCCTACAGCTGGCCAACGACCTTTGGACCTGGACCAAGCTTTCCGCCTGCCTGGGCGCCGTTCTCTTCATGGTCTCTGACCTCACCATCGCTGTCAACAAGTTCTGCTTCCCTGTTCCCCACTCTAGAGCCATCATCATGGCCACCTATTACGCCGCCCAGATGCTCATTGTGCTATCAGCCGTCGAGTGCCAGGATGTGGAGGCCGCCCGGAAGAGAACATGAAAAGAAGACCTATCTGAACATGGGAAAGTGGCTCCAACTCCAGCCCTGAGAGATCATGGACACATCTCACTGCCAGATCCCCAACCACCGGCCTTCATCTCAGTTTGGTGCTCCTACACTATTGTTACCGTGGCGATCAATCCACCACATGACTATCACCCTGCTTTCCCACAAGTGTGGTAGTCTCTTGTAAATAAGATAGTGGCACTATCTTCAGCTTCTCCGCGATGCTCCAAACCTAGATGAGGTTGTGTCTCTACCTGGTCACCATGGAGACAAGCGTAGAAATATTAACATGTGATGTACAGAGCATTACAGCGCATTTACCTGTTCTGATTTATGGGGAGCAGGTGGTTGGGTGTCTTTGGGGAGTGTGTTTGGGACAGATGTGTGTGTGTGTGTGTGTGTGTGTGTGTGTGTGTGTGTGTGTGTGTGTGTGTGTGTGTGTGTGTGTGTGTGTGTGTGTGTGTGTGTGTGTGTGTGTGTGTGTGTGTGTGTGTGTGTGTGTGTGTGTGTGTGTGTACATGATTGGTAAACATACTTCGTTTTCCACATGGTCCTTTCACACACATTGAACTCCCACCACAGGTTTATTCTTTAAGTGGTCCAAAAACACACTTATGTATTTATCTATGTTGTTTTTTGTTTTGTTGTATGAAGGGATTATTTTTAGTCCTTTATCATGTAGTTTTTTCTCCATCTGTTCCTCCGCGCTCCCCTGCCTCAAGGGTGCTAATCTTAGAGCATGGGATCATATTCACAACCGTTTTATCGTCTGCAGTCCCGATCATTTCACTTTCACCAACCACGCTGCCTTTGTTTACTATCCACGCTCCCAGTTTTCTATTGATGACAATACTTTATATATTTAAATCTTTGAATGGAGACATCGTGGAGTAAAGAGATGAAAGGAGGATGAGTGACTGAGATGAAACCGGAGGAGGAAAGGAGAAAAACTAATAAAACCTGTGTTGTAGCTTTAGACATTGAATCCTATGAGAGGTTGAGATGTTGGTGATGTCATGCAGACATCCTACGAAGCCTCTCTGCAGTCAAAGCAGCTCCTGGACACATCCTAGCCTGGTGTTTAGTTCACCCACATCACCTTTTGGTGTTGAGTCTCTCAGACCTTTGATTTGTTTTCCAGCAGCTTTTTTATTTTAGATTATTTTTTGCTCAGAATCGTATCTTCAAATACGCCTGACCCATAGAGCTCCCGCTGGCTGAGTTATTGGGAAAAGTTTGCGGGGATCTTATTGTTGGACCAGCTCAGCTGACTCGTGCTGGTAATGACCTTGTTATGAACGCTGAAAAGAAAGGGCTTTGTTATTGGCTGGAGTCACTGTGTTTGTCAGCCCTGAGTGTGTGTGTGTGTGTGTGTGTGTGCATGCTAAAGGCACCATGCAACAAAAGGGTCAAGCTGGCTGAAGGAAAACGTAAAAAGAGAAGAACTCAAGAGAAGTGGCTTGTCATGTGAGGGAACAGTTATTCCCAGTAATTCCTTCTCACTGGACACTTCATCAGCTTTAATCCTGCAAAATCCTCCACAGCTAATCCCTAACTAGTCCCTTCATAGTTTCTCCTTCTCATCTTTCATTTGTTTCATCTTCTTCTCTAATGAAGTGTCTTATTGAACTTGCACTTCTGTAATGCTTTATTTTTTTGCTGTATATATTTAAAACGTGTGTGTGTGTGTTCCCTTTGTCTTAACTCTTAAGTAGACGTTAGTTCTTGAGTCAGAACCACCTCCAGGCCATAGGAACTGTGAACCATTATAGTTTATATGACGCAGACACATTACTGGACATTAGATTATTTCTTTACGACTCGTCTTCATTCCATTTCCTGCTCAGAACTGTATCTTTGTTAGATAATTCACTAGAATAGTCGGTTTACGCCAGCTTTGCCTGAGCGGATCCAAGAAAATTTTTATTATTTTGATTTTCACGCTTACTCGTAATATCTCCAGTGCAATATTTATACACAGATTATATTTATGAAAATATATGAAAACTGTGCAAAATGAAGTTGATAGTTGCCAAAAATAACAAGAAACAGTATCCAGTATCATTAAGTGAGAGACAGGGGAGACCCTGGACAGGTCCTAGTCCATCACAGGGACATATAGAGGCACACAACACACAGTTAGAGCTTAGATTAGCTGTTTAGCCTCACATGCGTGTGTTTGGCCTGTTGGAGGAAACTCTAGTATACAAATATAAAGGCTCCCAGACGGTCTCCAATCCTTCAACCTTCTTGCAGCCTTGCACACTCAAATATAAGCAACCAAATTTTAAATTGTGTTTAATTTGCACACTTAAATTACTTATGAATATAATGTTATAGTCAATGTCCTGTTTAGAATATCTCAGATGATTCACGCTTCAAAAAAGATCCAGATGTGATTTAACTCAGAAACTTGGGAGGATTTAGAAAGTTGTCATGGAACGACCCATATGAAAACTGTTTAGGGAATAAACAGACGTGCAAAAATAGTCTTCCTTTTTATGGGGTCAGTGACCCTTAGAGAGTGAAAAAACACACAAATCCACCACCATGACAGATCTGCAGGCAGACCGTGGTGTTGACGCTAATGGAAGTTTATTTCAAACATCAGCAGCTCCGTGTTGCAGAAAAAAAGACCAAGTTCCTCAATCTCCTTTCGCCCTGTCAGTGTACGTATCAGCACAATAACTGCTCTGCTCTGCATTTTCCTCTCACCTCTCATCCTACACTGCAAAACACGATTTCTAAGAAAGTAAAAATTGAATTTTTAGACATTTTATCTTATTTTTAGTCTTAAAAAGAAAAAAAAATCATCTATAGAAAAATATAATTATTTCAAATGAGGTAAATTTTCTTAAAGGTGTGGCTTACTCGTTTATTCAATACATTTGAACTGTTCTCTAGTGTAAACCAATGCTTTATGAGTCGTTTAAAAAAAGCTATGATGCTCCTCTTCTGAGATGTAGAAGTTAGCTGGTGCAGAGGAGGGCTGAAAACATCACGCCATGTTGCAAAGTCACTATCACCAACACACTAGGGCTGCAACGATTCGTCGACGTTGTCGACAAATATCGACAATAAAAATAGTCGACACTGATTTTCATTGTCGATGTCGCCAGACGTGTTTTTCCGACCGAGTGAGGCATCTCACTTCATTACAATCTCTACGGAGAGTCGCACATGCGCAATAGCTTCTCTGCTTAGTGCCAACCGCCAACCAACAGAAATGGCGGTGTCAAACACAGCAGCTACGCGTATCAAAACATCGAAAGTTTGTGAGCATTCTAGCCTGGATTTGGCGACTAAAAAGATGACCTGCATTATTTGCAAAGTAGCCCTTGCGTATCACGGTAGCACCTCGAAGATGCATGAACACTTAACGAGAAAACGTGTCGGACAGTTGAGTAAAACAGAGTCTGACTCACCTCGGTAAGATTTAAATAACACGAAAGCCAATACGTTTTGTTTTGGATGTACATTGTACAGTTTTTAAACGTATTTTCACTTTTAAAACAGAGAGATTTAACGTTATGCCCGACTGTGCCTGACAAAAGTATTTTAATTTTATTTATGCATTTATGTCTATACTGACTGAGAACTGTGCCTAATTGGTGTTAGACGGCATTTTTATTTACTTTTAGTCTGAATTGGCCTATCAGCAGCAAAGTTCAATAAAATATGCATTTTCCATTGAAGTACCCATCTTTCTTGTGTTTATTATCATTTTTCACATAATTAAAACAATCTCGTGCTAAATTGAAGAAAAATTCAATAATTATCCGATTAGCCGACTAATCGTTTCAATAGTCGGTGACTAGTCGACTATTAAAATAGTCGTTAGTTGCAGCCCCACAGCACACCCTTCGCTCTCTCTCCTCGCTACAAACATTTTTAAATAAGCCTTCCGGTGGGCAGGCGCGAGCCAAGATAAGTGAGGCAATGAATGCAAATTCACAGCGTGACATCACAGTGTGAGGCTTTTCAAATCCCAGCATTTCTCCATCTATTTTCTATCAGAAGCTAAAGCAGGAGATGGGTGTAGGAGATTATTTTCATGTTCAGCCTGCATGAAAAACTGAGTGACCAATTATAATCAGAAATAATCATAAAAACATGTTTCTGAGTCAACCACACCTTTAAAATTTCTTGTTCTGAGTAAAAAAAATAAATAAAAAAAATCTGCCAATGGGATAAGCAAAATTTGCTTGGGTAGAATTCACAAAAGTAGCAAATAAATCAAAATGTCAATTATTTTGCTAATGTTTATATAATTTTGCTAAATGTTAGTTTCTAGAGAGGATATCTTTTGTTTTTAGAGTTAAGTAAGATTAAACGTCTAAAAATGAGACTTTTCTAATTCCTTAGGAATCAGGTTTTACAGTGTACCCACTTCTCCACAAAGCTCAGGCTGTCAACAACGAAAACAAACCTTTGTGTGGAGAGTTGTTCACAGAGGACTAGCGATGTTTGTCTTAATCAGAGTTTTGTGGAGAGCAAACTGAGAAGATGGATCTTTAATGTGCAGCTTCATGTAAAATCCAGCCGAGGTTGGCAATATTTAGTCGTACAGTCTTACTTTTTCCTTTTTTGTGGCTTATTTATGTACTTTCTTTAAGGGGCCAGAAAAACCACCGTCTGACCTTTATTTCTTTTTTTTCTACCCCTCCCCAAGTTCTGGTGGTTTTCCCGTTCTAGAAACGACCCTGTTGAGCAATATTAGAAAAGCAGGTGAAATATGACACACAGGGATAAGACTTTGTTTTCCGCCTGCGGGTAAGCTACCATCCCGACCCCCTCCATGCGGGTGGTGGAACAGCAGGCGCATCACTTTACCTCAGCCTGTCAACAGCCCTGCTGTTCTCTGCTTTGTGCGAGGCGAGCGGACAAAAGGGACCCGGGCGAGCTTTGGGAGGCCTGTGTGGTTCAGCATCCACCGCAGGAAACGAGCTGGAACCGTAGGAAGGGCTCTCACTCGGTCCTCTAAATCAGTGACACTTTCATTTTAATGTTCTTGTGACTTTTTATTTAAAACCTTTGCTGTTTAATGTGTTTTGCTCCTGATCATCAGCAGGCGACAACCAACACACAAAGCTGTAATGATTTTTCTTTTACTCATGCGTGAGAAATCGATGAACCACTACACACCCGTCACCCAACTCCAGCATTAGTTTTGCTGGGAAGTATTTGTTTTTGATCTCAGCCGACTGGATTCTGATCATTTCTGAACTCGGGTCAGACTCTCGTGCTTTAAAAAAGGATCGATGTGTGCCGTATCCTCTGACGTGTGTGCTACCTTTCCCTTTTCTTGATCTTAATGAGAAAACTGGTTTCAAAACAAATCAATATATATTTTTAAAAAGGGATCCATTTTTTTTAAAGTCTTTTCAGCCTATCTTAGAAGTATTATCCTTTCCATCTATCCATCCATCCATCGTCTGAACCCGCTAGTCCATGTAGGGTCGCTATGTCCAGCGGTCAATGGGCAATCAGGCGGGGTACACCCTGGACAGAGTGCCAGTCCATCGCAGGGCAACACAGAGACACACAGGACAAACAATCATGCACACACACACACACACACACACACACACACACACACACACACACACACACACACACACACACACACACACACACCTAAGGACAATTTAGACAAACCAAATCAACCTAACAGTCATGTTTTTGGACTGTGGGAGGAAGCCGGAGGACCCGGAGAGAACCCACGCATGCACAGGGAGAACATGCAAACTCCATGCAGAAAGATCCCAGGCCGGGAAGCGAACCCAGGACCTTCTTGCTGCAAGGCAACAGCTCTAACCACTGCACCACTGCGCAGCCGTATTATCCTTTCATTACCAGAAAATAGACAAACCAAAAAGTTATTTTTTGACTTTAGATTTAAAGTCATGTTTATTCCCACCCCTCAAACATCCCATTACAATGCATAATTAAACTTGTCTTATTAGAAAATGTCCTTTATTTTCACTTTGTGATTGATTTCTTCCATGACTGTAGAGATGACATGATTTATTTGCTGTAGTGGAATTGAATGTGAACATCTATTGGAGAAATAAATGCAATTACAATGCAACAACGACAGATCGTACTCCGGGTCTTTGTTTCTACAGAATCAGCGGCGCCACGCTGGAAATGTCAGCTGATATTTATAACTGTGTGGCGTTTTGGGGTTTCGAACTGAAGCTGCTAAAGTGCCATCATGGCAGAAAGGGCTGGAGGACAACACGGAGCTCTGTTCTCCTAACTGCTACACTCCGTTGTCTCATCGAGGTGGAAAATTGCTTTGAACAGCTTTTAACCTTTACAACAAAGCTCCCTCTCTCCTCTTTTCCTTTCTACCTCTTCTACACTCTTGTTCCTTCTGCTCTTTGTGCGTCCAAATGAGTCTCTTTCATGCGCAGGGAACATCTCGCCGTCAAAGAAGTCCAGTCTTCCGCCTCTCACAGAGGCTGCTTTGTAAACAAGCTTGGTGGCACACACACTTCCCTAAGAAGTGACAAAGTCCAATGAGGCAACATCATAAAGTCACTAAATAAACTCAACAGCTCTGCAACAATCTCACTTCTCTACGCTGCTCCATTCAGCATTTTATTACAAGATCTCAAAGCCAGGAAGCTGTCATGAAACTGAGATTTACAAGCATGCAATTCCCTGTGAGCAGCAGCAGTCTG